ACATATTGATGTCCTTATGCTATGTAGAAAGTTTGAGCTGATTCTGACAAATAATTTTCAAGTTATGAGCATTTTTTAAATGAGCCAATTTTTGGGAAAAAACCATGGGCTATACCATGGTTTTTTCAAAAAAATGGCTCCAAAATCACTCCAAATTTTTATTACATTTTCTGATACATATTGATTTCCTTATGCTATATAGAAAGTTTTAGCTGATTCTGACAAATGATTTTCAAGTTATGAGCATTTTTTAATGAACCAATTTTCAGAAAAAACCATGGGCTATTATTATTATTATTAGTATTATTATTGTTATTATTATTATTATTATTATTATTATTATTATTATTATTATTATTATTATTATTATTATTATTATTATTATTATTATTAATTTTCTTTCTCATTCTTTGTATCCATCTTTACCTTAACCTATCTTTAACCTTGCTTTCTTTTTTCTTTTCTTTTCCTTAACCTACATGTTCATTTCTACCCTTTTTTATAATAAATTTTTTGAGGGCTTTGTTCCCTTTTCACTGGGCTATAGTCCATGGTTTTTTCAAAAAAATGGCTCCAAAATCACCCCAAATTTTATTACATTTTCTGATACATATTGATGTCCTTATGCTATGTAGAAAGTTTTACCTGATTCTGACAAATAATTTTTGAGTTGTGAGCATTTTTAAACTTTGCAACCATATCATACCAACTGTAACTTAGCAATCATATCACAGCAACTGTAACTTTGATACTCATCAGTCATGCGTTATATTCTATGGGAAGTAGCAGTAGTGGCAAGTACATTGTTGTACCTAGATTGAGTTGTCTTACAATTAGACTATAATTTTGACTGATGAGATGAAGATAGACAAATAGATCACCTTTATTAAGTTTTCTTCAAAGCTCTAATTGAAACTTCCGTACAAACTTTGTCTCCTAACAAGGTAAGTTCTGAAATCAAGACCAAATTATGGTCTCTTACACCTATGCCATGTCTCCCTATATAAGAATGCTTTCTTCATCAGTCAATCATAAGTGAACTAATAATACAGGTTATCAAAATGGCTCGTATGCTACAAGTTGCTTTATTGATACTGGCCATCACAGCTTCAATCGTTTTGGTTTCTTTTTCCAGTAGCAGTAACATCAGAATACCAAGTCCTTCTGATGGTAAGCATGACTCATATTTGAGTAGATTTATACCAAGTCAGGACCAGATTAACAAAGAGGTATACAGTGGCCCATATGATCCCCACAATGGTCCCTATGGCCCAGACCATGGTCCATTCGAGGTTCCATATTCAGGTCCTTATGGACCTGATGGTGCTTATGGCCCAGGCTATCAAGATCAAAGAAATAACTGATGGATATCGCTACAATCATGATTACTAATGAACTTATGTTTAATAGTTAGTATATTCTTGTTTGCATGTTTTTTATTTGTTCTTAGTGAATAGCACTGTCAAATTTTATCTACCAGGTAGCATACAATGCTGGAGAGCTAACTAAAGCAGATTTACTATTTCCAATCACACCCTGTGCATGTTATATCTTTATTGCAATTCACAATCAAAAAGTACCATGATAAAAGCAAATTGTTAATCAAAAGCAATACTGTATCATGACACTTTGCTGGCATCATAAAAATAACTTATTATTATAACAAAAGTATGTAAAGAGTAATTTATTGTTCATATTAACAGAAAAATTGCCTATAAAATAAAATTACATTACAAATGAGCAGTTATTCAAATGTTGTTCGTTAATTTGCGTTATTTTTGCTACCATATGAGCACTGACGATTAACAAAAGCTTCATCATCAGCTGTCATACTTTGTCCGCTATTGACAAATTCTTCATGAGCGATACAAGCAATATCAATGTCTTCTTTTTTATCAGCATCATCGGAGAAGGACTGTGTAAGGAAGTACAAGCCTGGTGGTATGTGGTTCTTTACTCGGGGCTCAGCGTAGCAGACTGCAAGATCATTGGGTAGGTTACTGTTGTCATGGAATTGTGCTACAGTGAAATCACTGGCTAGAGCAAGGGGACTGTTATCAGTTGAGTAGCGAACCTTGAGCCTCAAATCATCGAAACTCTGCCAGCGACTGAACAAGTAATCAAGCATTGTCAAGTGAAGGGGGAAGAGAGGATCATTGGCTGCATCTGTAGTACACATAGTGCCTCCAATAAAGCAACGTACATTGGTATGTATAAAGAGCTGAAGGGAGCGTTGAAAGGCGGAAAACTCTGAAGCTGGCCTTGTCAATACGTCGCGCTCAATCAAAGCGCGACTGGGGAACTTCATATTTGAGTATTCTCTTTTAAGGCAGCCGCCACCTGCTGAGTCTATCAGTGAATATTCATTGAAATTAAACGGACCAGAACTGACACAGTTATCAGAAGAGCGGGAAGATTTACCAAAGCCAACTGTATCATCATAGACTGGGTGAATGTATGGACTAGTATTGAGGATGGTCCAATCATAGTACGGCATTGTTATTCTGCAATCAACTTCACGTAAGAGGTCCTCATACTCAAGAAGGAAGAACCTGTTCCAAACAAAGAACTGACTGGACTGAGGATCACTCTCTTGAGCAGGAGTATCGAATGAGGACTTGTATTTTTCTAATAATGTAACGTATTTTGATTTATAGGCTGGATTAGTAGAGACTGTGGTCACTGCATTTATGTATCGCTCTTTCTCTTCCTTGCTGTATGATGCAAAGTCGTGACGGAGCCTGCAACAGTCAGTGAGGTAGCCATTTACACAGGAGCAAAGCTGTCCACAGCTATCTTCGGCTTTCTTGTCTCCAACACATTCTAATTGGAGAATGTTATTATAAGAATTGTTCAATTTAAAACATTAAATAAACTCACGTCCATTTCCTACACACGAAGGCAAAGTGTCGGTCCATTTCCCATCAAATCTACACAGTCTACTCCTAGGTCCCACTAGCCTGAAACCAGTATTACACTCATAGTAGACAATTGATCCCACAGAGTAACTATCACCAATTTTCCTACCATTGGCAGGGACACCAGGATCACCACAGCCAGGTGATGGGGTTGGAGGAGCTATTGTTGATTCTAATTGAAGTACAGAGCATTAAGGAGTACATTTTAAATGCTTTTTAATTCTCACTTGGTCTGCATATTGGGGCTGCTCCAGACCATTGCCCATCACTCTTACAAGTCCTACTAACAGCACCTACTAGTGTATAGCCAGGGAAGCAACTGTAGCGGACAAGCTCTCCAAATCCACTGCCTATGTATCTTAATTCCCCATTTTCAGGGGCAGTTAACCTTGGGCAGTCATTAGCTATAAAACAAAACAAACATTCATAGTTAGATTATGCAGTTTAGTACAGCATTTTAGCTACAATGTGCTAAAACTTACGATTGCAGCGTGGAGCAACACCACTCCATTGTCCGTTTTCTTGACAATAGCGAATATCAGCTCCGGAGAGACTAAACCCAACAAAGCAAGTGTATGTAGCCGAGTCTCCTATCTTTGTACCATAGAGCAGGACTTGTCCATTGTTTGGATCAGGAAGAGTACCACAATCAACTTCTTTACCTGATGAATGATGAAATGAAAAGGAGAATTTTTATTAAGTCTCTGCTTACTGTTACAGACTGGTGCTGATCCACTCCATTCTCCATTGTCTTGGCAAGTTCTTCTGCCTGTTCCAACTAGTAAATAATCATTCATGCAGCTGTAGGTAGCAACAGAGCCGACAGTAGAGGTAGTGTATGTTACTTGACCGTTAACAGGAGCAATCAATGTGCCACAAGAAATAGCTGATTAAAAATTAATGAACATCATTACAACAACAAAAAATTGCACTAATACAATAAACATAAACCAATGGTTATCTTCAGTATGATTTATTCTACAAAGTCTTACCTCTACAGACTGGTTCAGTACCAGACCATGTACCATCACTATTACAAGATCTACTGTCTTTTCCACTTAGCTCAAATCCTCTATCACAACTATAGCTAGCCTTTGAGCCAACAGTTGTACCAGTGATTGTCACTAAACCGTTTGCAGGCTTTGGTAGAACAGTACAACGTACGACTAATTTGAATAATTTTGATATTAATGTATACACAGTTCTTCACACTAACCTTCACAAATTGGTGCATTTCCTGCCCATCTTCCATCAAGCTGACAAGGTCTCAGTCTCAAACCAACGAGAGTGAACCCAGTGAAGCAGCTGTAGCGAGCGTTTGAGCCAAACCTACTACTGGGGACTCTCACTTTACCATTAGTTGGATCAGAAAGTGGGCCACAGTTAATAACTGAGAAAACAGTATACAATAATAATTATACTATTATTATTATTGGTTTATATTATTACTATTATTATTATTATTATTATTATTATCATCATCATTATTGGTTACATACTTCTACATATTGGATCACTTCCGGTCCATTCTCCAGTGCGGAGACACTGCCTACGTTGATTCCCACTTAAGATGTATCCCTCATTGCAAGTATATGAGGCTGATGATCCAACACTTGCACCATCAAATGTAACTTTACCATTACTGGGATCAGTCAGAGGGCCACAATCAATTGCTGCAATGATAACAAAACAATTGATATAAAAAGAAATTTAATTTATATAAGGATAATTATTATATATTTGAAATACATCTTTTTGTGAAACCTACAGCTGCATGTTGGTGCTTCACCGCTCCATTGTCCATTTGCTTGACACAATCTAGTGCCAGCACCTATCAACTGGAATCCATGCTTACAGTTGTAAGTAGCTGTATCACCAACACTAATACCAGAAAAGACAACAATCCCATTCTGTGGAGGATCAAGAGGACCACATCCAACAGCTATAATGATAAATAAAAAGAAATATATAATGACTTCATTTTTCTCTCTTTTTTCTTACCTTGGCATAGTGGTTCAACTCCAGACCACACACCATTACTCAAGCATTCTCTTGTGTTTTTGCCAATCAGATCAAAGCCTTTATTGCAGATGTATGTTGCTATTGATGATACAGTTGTACCAGTCAGGGAGACAGCACCATTTTCTATGTCATCAAGTACTTCACAATGGAGACCTATGCATTGCATGAAACAAAGAAAGACATTTTACTTCACAATCAGCAAATAAATTTTACAGACCATTTGATTAATAATAGGAAATTTAATACAAGTATACCTTGGCAAGTTGGTTCAGTGCCACTCCATTCTCCAGTTTCTCGACACTTCCTCTCTTTATCTCCTACCAATTTGAACCCTTGATTACAGCTATAGTAAGCTATAGAGCCAGCAAGATTTCCCTGTGTCAATTCCAATTCTCCATTAGCAGGAGCTGTCAACTTTGAACATGTAACACCTAAACACAGAAAGAGTTAAAGTAACCTCTTTTGCACAACATTAATTAAAAATCTTGTCTATCTTACTCTGGCAAGTTGGTGCCTCGCCTGACCACTGCCCATCAGCCTGACAGAGTCTGGTGTGATCTCCTACCAACTCAAATGGTTCATCACAGAAATAATTTGCTACAGATCTGAATGATGTTGACGAGAATTCAACTCGCCCGTTTGCAGGAGACTGAAGCTTACCACAATCAATAACTATAATAGGAAAAGAAGCAGAGAAAAACAGTAAATGTAAAAGAGATGGAAGTTGCATTACAAAGGAATACTTACCAATGCAGATAGGTGCTGTACCAGTCCATTTGCCATTCTCTGAGCAAGTACGTGAGTCATCACCTTGTAGCCTATAGCCAGGCATGCAACTGTATACTGCAGTGTCATAGAACTTTGTACCAGTAGTCTCTACCATACCATTGGCTGGTGACTCTAACTGTCCACAATCAGCAGCTACAATGAAATTGAGAATTAATAATTATAAATGATTGCATTAGTTCTTTTTAAAGCATATTTTTATCTTACGTTCACAAACTGGAGGAGAGTCGGACCAAACTCCATTAGTTTCACAGATCCTTGAGCTAACGCCAACTAATCCAAACCCTTCACTACAGGTGTATGTTGCTATGGAGAACACATCTGAGCCACTAACAATCACTTGACCATTCTCTATATCATCCAATGGGCCACAACTGACGGCTATAAAAATAATAAATAATAATTTATTACTTCTTTTTTCTTACATAGTACATGTACATTAATTGATTTCTTGTCCCATTCTCATTCTAATAATATAGAATTACCTCTGCAATGTGGCTCTTGACCTGACCATTGTCCATTGTTCTGGCAAGTTCTGATCTCATATCCAATAAGTATGAATCCAGGAAAGCAGGTGTATGTTGCTTCGGAATTAATTGTCACTCCGGTGAAGCTAACCCGTCCATTTTTAGGAGAACTCAGCAACTCACAAGTAGCAGCTGAAAGAAAAAAATATTTCAAATAAATGATAATAGTGTTATTATTAATGCTTACATTGACAGAAAGGAGCGACACCTGACCACTGTCCGTTCTCTTGGCAGGTCCTTATGGATTCACCAATGATGTCAAATCCAGGATTACATGTGTACGTAGCAGTGTCCCAGAATGCTGTACCTGATGCATCCACTTTACCATTCTTTGGATCATCCAATGGTCCACAGTCTTCAGCTACAATGAAGTATATATAGTATACCATTTCGTTTACTTTATTCTTATTCTTTCATCATCTCTCTCTCTCTTTTGTTTTAAACATAATTATTTAGTGAGCAAATATGCTTATCAATATAAACAAAAATAGTTAGCATCAGATCAGTAATAAGATGTTAAGTTGCCTTAAAAGTTTGAACTGATCAAGATGTATTTATAAATTTTAAAGTTGCTGATTCTGACAAATAATTTTTTATTTTATAAGTGAGGCATTTGCTAAATTTCACCAAAAATGGCTGCATGGGAGAGAATTCTTCATTTTAATAATTTTTTGATACATAGGTATGTTCTTAGATTGTGTAGCAATTAGCTTACGTTCACAAGTTGGAGCTTGTAGTGACCATTCTCCAGTATTGAGACATACTCTGGTGGTACTACCAGTTAGTCTGAATCCTTTGTTGCATTTGTATGTTGCTAATGAGCCTGTTGTTGTTCCACTGAGCTTAACTGTTCCATATTCTGGATCTGGCAAGCTTCCACAATCAATAGCTACCAAAAAATGATTAAATTAATTTACTATTTTGAGACTTACATTGACAGACTGGAGTACTCCCTGACCATTCGCCTGTAGCCTGGCAGGTTCTCATATCAGAGCCACTCAGTTTAAAGCCAGGGTTACAAGTATATTTAGCAACAGACCCAACTGTGGTACCTTCCACTCTAACAATACCATTATCAGGAGAGTCCAATGGACCACACTCAATAGCTGCAGATATTGAAATACAATTATTTCTCATACTCTACATTGTGCAACATACGTCTGCAGAATGGTTCCTTCTCAGACCATTCTCCATTCAATTGACAAGTTCTTGTATTTGAGCCTACTAGAGTGAATCCAAAGTCACAAGAGTATCTTGCAATGGAACCAAAACCAGTTGAGGCAAATGTAACATCTCCATTAGGAATAGGCCTCAACTCACCACAGTTAACGACTGAACAAAAGAAACCAAGTATCAATGTGTAATAAGTTAATAATCAGTTATACTCACTGATGCAAGTGGGTGCTTCTCCTGACCATTCTCCTGATGGCTGACAGACACGTGTAGATAGACCAGATAGAACAAATCCTTTATTACAACTGTATGTTGCTGTTGAGCTAACTGTAGTAGATTCAAAGTTGACCACTCCATTAAGAGGATTCTGTAATTCACCACAACTAATGGCTAAAAGAGAGAGAGATGGAAGGAATAAGTGTGTGTCAATCCTGATGAACAAAGGCTCCCATTAATTAGCATACCTCTACAAATAGGCTCTACTCCACTGTACTGTCCATCATTCCTACAGATTCTTACTCTCCTGCCGGCCAATTCAAAACCAGGATTGCAGCTGTATGTTGCTATGGCACCAACAGTACTGCCACTAACAGACACAAAACCATTCTCAGGATTATTCAATGTCACACAATTAAGAGCTGAAATTGATGAGGAATAACATTAATGTATATTTATCCCCCAGCTCTTATGCTACTGTACTTACGTTTACAAACAGGAGCAGTGCTTGACCATTCTCCATTTACTTGACATATTCTTGTCTCAGTCCCCACAACCCTAAATCCAGGTCTGCAACGATAACTTGCTGTTGAGCGAAAGGCTGTCGATGAGAATATGACGTCACCGTTCTGAGGAGGTGTGAGTACTCCACAATCAACAACTGTCACAGAAAGAGAAGAAGAAAGGATAGAGACGGATGAAGAGGATAATAGTATTGTGTCTAGTTTACTTGTGCATGTTGGCTCAACTCCGGACCACTGCCCACTTTGTTGACAGGTCCTTTGTGCCTCTCCTTCAAGCCTGAATCCATTGTCACATGTATAACTAGCCACTGCGCCAACACTGGTGCTAATGAAGGAAACATGACCATTGTTAATGTTATCCAATGGGCCACAGTCAATCCCTGGAAATAAAAAATAAATACTGTAAATAAATAAATAAATAAATAATAAATAAAACTATATATAATAAATGAATATTAATAATCAAATAAAAATAATTGGATATAGTAGTTGTACCTATACATGTATATCAATGTATTTACTTTGACATATTGGTGCTTGACCACTAAATGTTCCATCATTTCCACATATTCTAATCCTCTGGCCAACAATACTGAATCCTGAATTGCAGTTGTATGTAGCAACTGCTCCTGGTCGTGTCCCTGATACGCTAACTTGGCCATTCTCGATGGGTGGGACTTGTTCACAAATGACAGCTATCAAGAATAATGCAACAAAAATAAATTATAAAGTCCTCTTTATGCAAATACAATAATCAAACTCTAATGGTATAATTTTTTACCTTCACAGGTTGGAGCTTGTCCAGAGAAGCTTCCATCATCCTGACAGACTCTCAGTTTCTGTCCACTGAGCCTGAAACCAGGATCACATGTGTATCTTGCTTCTGCTCCTGGTCTCCTACCATTCACTTGGACTCTCCCATTGGCTGGATTATCCAAATCCTCGCATATTATTGCTGCAATAATAAGAATACCACAATGAAGTATTATTATCTATTCATTATACGTACATTAGTATTATTTCATATATTTTAAGACACAATTGTAAAAACAAGTCCTTTTAAAACTTACGGCGACAGATTGGTGCAGAGCTAGAAAAGCGACCATCTTCTCCACAAACTCTCCTTCTATCTCCAACCAATTCAAAGCCAGGGCTGCACTTGTATACAGCGACAGAGCCTGGTCCACTCCCACCCAAAATAGTCACTTGTCCATTCTCTGGATCATCAAGACTTTCACATGTTATACCTTTTTAGTAGGAGAACAATTAATTGTAGCATTTTATTCATTATAGTAGCAATGTATTGCTCCTTACGTCTGCAAGTTGGTGCAGTTCCTGACCAAGTGGCATCTCTCCTACAAATCCTTCTGGCCAAGCCTTCCAATACAAATCCTCTGTTACAGAAATAATTGGCAGTAGAGCCTACACTAGTCCCTGTTAGTCTCACGCGTCCATTTTGTGGGTCTTCAAGCTCACCACAACTGTTAACTAAACAAAAGTATCCTGTTTTTACTTATTGCATTTTCTTACTTTTACAAGTTGGAGCATCCTTTGACCACTGGCCATTAGCCAGACACCTTCTAACAGTAGTACCGACCAATTTAAATCCATCATTGCACCTGTATTTAGCTATACCTCCTAGTTTAGTGGTTGTAACGGAGACTTGCCCATCGCTAGGACTAGAGAGATGGCCACAATCAACAGCTAATGAGAGGAGTAAAGTATAAGAAGTAAACATGATAAAGAAGATGCTTTAAAATTGAAACTACATGCATTCTATGTACATTTGCATATATTTGCATATAGTCTTGCCATTATTATTGAATTTCTAATTGAAGACGTACACATACATACAGTACTATTATTATACACGAACTCACGTCTGCAGATTGGTTCCTGTCCATTCCATGCACCATTAAATTGGCAAGTCCTGGTGGTAGCTCCCTGCAGTACGAACCCTCTATTGCAGCTGTACACAGCTTTGTCATCCACTCTCACTCCAGTTAACTCAACCTGACCATTTGGAGGATCTCTAAGATTACCACAACTAATAGCTATAATATGATAATAAAGATTAGGACACTGTTACCATAATGTTAGTTGTCTTACGGTTGCATGATGGGGCCTGCCCAGAATAAGTTCCATCTTGTTGACATACTCTGATTCTTGTTCCTAAAAGACTGAAACCAGGAAAGCAGCTGTAAGTGGCTTTGTCTCCTGGTCTCTGAGTGCTGACAGAAGATGATGAGAATTGGATTTGACCATTATTTGGAGCACTAAGGCTTTGACATGAAATGGCTAAAATAAAATAACAATAAATAAAACACCAAACACCAATATTCTAATATATTGCTATGGAATTAAATAGCGATCATGGTAAATAGTAAAGTAACTATTATACGTTGGCTTACGTCTGCAGTTTGGTGTGCTTCCTGACCATTCCCCATTGACTTGACAGGTCCTCTTGTATTGTCCCATTAATGTGAATCCTTGATTACAACTGTAGGTTGCCACAGAGCCTGGAGTTGTACCAGAAATGATGACTTTGCCGTTTTGAGGCGATTCAAGCCGTCCACAACTTAAAGCTATTGTAAAAGATGTGAAAATTCTGTTTTTCAATTTTAAGGTTAATCTCACGTCTGCAAACTGGTGCCATTCCAGACCATTCCCTGTTGCTCTGACAGGTTCTTATTTTATCTCCAACAAGAAGAAAACCAGCACTGCAGCTGTACTCTGCAGTCGATCCAACACTGGTAGATGAGAATTTAACATTGCCATTTTTTGGATCAGCCAATGTTCCACAGCTAATCTCTGCAAAAATTGAAAGAGAAAAACAAAAATGTCACTGAGTGAATCTATTGTCCACCTCTGATAGACAAAACTTTACAAACCACTTCAAGAAAATTGAGGAAGATGTGTCTCCTCACCTTGACAACTGGGGGCAACACCTGACCACTGTCCATGCGGTCGGCAAACTCTGTTCTTATTACCAACTAGTGCGAACCCATCATTGCAGGAATATGTGGCTACTGCTCCTATCCTTGTACTTGTAACCTCTACATTCCCATTCTGTGGCTTAGGCAAGTTTTGACAGCCTTGAGCTAAGGAGATAATTCTTAAAATGATGATTATTAAAATGACTCTGTACCAATGCATCTTGGTTCATTTCCTGACCATTCTCCACTTGGTCGGCATACTCTGTAATTGTTGCCTACCAGTCGATAGCCTTCATTACACTTGTACTTGATGACAGAATTAACATGTGTGGAGGACACAAGAACAAAACCATTGTCCAACATCCCAGGGTGTTTGCATAATTTTGAGCCACTTGATGAGCCTACTAGAAAGGAACAATTACTAATTTTAGAATTAATTGAAAACTGCTAGTGACAATATTTGGCTGCCCAAAACATTATACAAATAAACAACCGTTGTTTCTAAACAAAGGGCAATTCATTTCAACAATGTTTGTGGATAAACAATAACTCATTCATAATGTTCATTTGCAGGTATTAATTAGCTACTTAGCAGTATTAAGTTATGTCTATCAGTAGGTAATTATTCTCATAATTGATTTTCAGGGGATTTATTTAGTAATAATAATTATTGTTGTGACTTAGCACTTGTTAAGAGCTTCAGTACTTTTACAAGTTCAACAAAGAATATAACAATCCTTTTGTTGAAAATATACACAACATAAAAAATATACAATCAAAACATTACCTTTATTGCACTTAATTTATAGCAATTTAATATTTATGCATCTAATTATACACAGCAACTACTTTATATAATATCAAATGCATAATATACTCACCACGAACACATTTTGGAAGTCCAGGATACCAATGTCCTGTTTGCTTGCATTCGCGCATTTGTGATCCAACCAATTTGTAACCACTTTTGCACTTGTGTATGACTACAGATCCAACATGTCTCGAGTGGAAGAAACTGTAGCCAAACTCTGGTGTGCCGGGATCACTGCAACCTCTACTGTGATACTCGTCATACTGGTGTGTTTTAGTTACTCCGGTTCTCTTTATTCTCTCTTCCTCATTTTCTATGCACAACATTTAATGCATAATCATGCACTATCAGACTAACCTGCAGCAGTGTCAACATCTGAATGCACCTCCACATTATCTGCAAAGCTGAGTGTGGCACTTAAACAAATGACCACTGTTATTAGTAGGAAAAGTTGAGACAACATTATGATTGCTGCTGTGACGTGATTTGCTAATTTTCTTCTGCAGACTGAGACTGCTAGAGAGCTGCTGCTGCTGCAGATTGTGCAGAAATGTTAAGCACATCTTGGCTGCTCTGAGTTTTATTTAGTGCCCCTCTGATACGAAAAGAATACGAGATATGAATGACAAAAGACGGAAATTTTAAATTTACGGATTTATCGTAGTTTTTCCGTATAATCAATGGGCGTGACCACGTGGAGTGCAAATTAATTTAGTAGGCGAGCAGCATGGAGTTCAATGCCATTCTCTCTAACCTTCTCTCCGAAGACAACACGACAAGAAAGACCGCCGAGGTAAGCATGGCATCCATTATCCTCTGCAAAAACTCTCTGACTCGCTAGGAGCAACTAAACACGCTCAGCCTATCAGCCAAGCTCCCTTATCTTGTATCGACCATGGGCAACGCAGGAGTAGCCATCTCGGTACGTAGTGTCTCTCTAAATCAGTATTGTACGACTTATTCTTTTCATAGAGTCGAGACCTAGCAGCTGTACTCCTTCGCAGAGCACTCTTACAATCTCCTGATGAGCTGTCTCAGGTTGATCCAACCGTCACTGCATCCTGTCGGTCTCAGCTACTACAGATCATCCAGTCGGAGTCAAACACTAGCCTAAGACATAAAATATGCGACACGATTGCTGAGCTGGCTCGGGCGTCCATCGGTGAGTGGTTTGGGCGGAGTCGGTCATTTTTATAACTCCTCCCACTTTACAGATGAGAATGATGTCAATCACTGGCCGCAGTTATTGACGTTCTTGTTTGAATGCTGTGATACAACAAAACCTGAATTATATCAGAATGCTTTACACATCATAAGGTTTGTTCGATTATTAGTAACACGATTATTAAGCATGTAATTTGTTTCGTTCCATTGTATCTTATCATCTTATACTTTTCCCTCAATCTTGCTATCCTTAATTAACAGGGTAGTTCCGGCTGTATTTGGCGTCCAGCTAAATTCAGTGTTGGAGCTTGTGTCTCAAATGTTCTACCAAGCAATGATATCCTCTCACCAGGCACTGGCAGAGGAAGCCGTGACTGCTACCAGCTCCTTCATTATTTCACTTGAAGTCCCTGGAGTGAGACAAAGAATGAACGATCTCCTTCCTCACATGATATCTGTAAGGGAGAGAGAGAGAGAGAGAGAGAGAGACATTTAGTCTCGTGTGGCCAGACTCCATCCCTTTTTGTCATTTGGACTTAGAAAGACATTGATTGCACCTTAATTATGAATTATGTAACATCAAAAATTTATGGAATGCTATTTCTAAAATTCCCAGCTGCTTAGATACACGTAATACAAACTCTTGATACAAATTCCACAATGGAAAGAATTGTATAATTTATTCTTGTAGGTCTTAGAACAGAATATTCAGTCTCAGTCTGATGATACTGTATTGAAATCATTCATTGATCTTGCTGAGCACCGCCCAAAGTTCCTACGCCCAGAACTGGTTAAACTGCTAGAGTTAATGGCAAAGGTTTGTACTATAGGCTAGCTTGATATTTGATATTTGTGGCATATTAAAGTGGCTTCTGATTGACAGTAGTACTTGTCAACAGTGATTGCATTCTTGGAATAATATGAGTATAATTAGATTTGTATTAGTGTATTGTGCTCTTTCTTTAGTTAATGCAGGCAGAGGTTGAAGATAATTGGAAACAGCTGTCACTTGAATTTGTTGTTACTTTTGCTGAGAATGGTACAATTTTTCGACTCATTTTATTATTTATTTTATTTTGTGTAATCATGCCTTCTCATGTATAGGTGCTGCCATGTTAAGAAAACTTGACAAATTTCATTCTCTCATCAGTAAGTTAGTCATACTGTGTGTGTGTGTGTGTGTGTGTGTCCTATCCTTATTATCATCATTTGCTATGCTTTGTAGTTGAGCTCTGCCTTAATTTCATGGTACAGATCGAAGATGATGATGATTGGAATACAGCTGATGAGTTGGCCAATGATGACGACTCCTCCAGGTATATAATTTCCAGCTGTTCTCATGTACATATGAGTTTACAAATTGAGGGCAACTCATTGTTTTCTATTGATAATAATGTGTTTTGAGGAAAAAAAGTTAAATTGTGCTATTCATGTTCCTGTCCATCTTTTCTCTCTCTTCCTTTCTTCCTTTCTTCCTTCCTCCTTATATCACAGTATGACTGTGTCTGGTGAGACTGCTCTTGATAGGCTAGCAAATGCTTTGGGTGGGAAAGCTGTTCTGCCTCATATCATTTCGATTATCCCAAAAATGCTAACATCAGGTAATCCTGTAACCCTATGATATTCTACCTTTATATATCACTCTTTGTTTCTCCTCCATTCTCTCTCTTTGATGTCTTCTTTTGTTTTTCCTGTGACCTTAATATATATCCCATCTTTCTGTCTCTCTCCTCTTTCTCACCTCCTTCAAGCTGACTGGAAGCATAGATATGGCGCCTTGATGGCTGTCTCTGCAATAGCTGAAGGTTGTGAGAAGCAAATGACGCCGATATTGAACGATGTCATCACTTGTGTCCTGCCGTATTGCCAGGACTCGGTGAGTATTGGATATTGCATCAATTATTATTAAATTTAATTATTATTATTATTAAATTATTATTATTATTATTATTATTATTATTATTATTATTTCATTCTTTATACACTGTAGCATCCACGAGTTCGCTATGCTGCCTGTAATGCCCTTGGACAAATGTCTTCAGACTTTTCTCCAACGATACAAGAGAAGTTTCATGACAAAATAATCCCGTCCTTACTCCCGATACTGGATGATTTTAAGAACCCTAGGGTACTCACTCACGCCGGAGCTGCTCTTGTTAATTTCTGTGAATTATGTCCCAAATCTGTTCTCTCCAACTACCTCAGTGCCATAATACCTAAACTTGAAGCTTCTTTTAAATTTGGACTCTCTGAGGTAATGCATGTACCATGTACATGTACACGTGCATTTGTAGTGTGTGCTAAATATTTAATTCGGGGTTTTTCGCAGAATTTTGGGCCTTCAGTGAATTTTTAAAGTTGCTCAAAAACCTCTGTACTATAGTAAATGGTACTTGACCAAAAAGATTTCTCCAATTTTTTTTCTGATGCGTATATGTGTTCTTATGTTGTGTAGCAAGTTTGAGCTGATTCTGATCAAAATTGGATTTATTACAAATTTTATAAAGTCACTCAAAAACTGAGCCAAATTACATGTATGTCAATGTCCCTGTACTATAGTACAGTGTCTTTGGCCAAATTTTGCCAAAAATGGCTAGGAGAGAATTATCATTTTTCTGATGCATATACATGTTTTTATGTTGTGTTTGAGCTGATTTTGATCAAAATTGGATTTTTTAAATTTCTAAAGTTGCTCCAAAAGCTGTATTCTCTTTAGCTCACTTAGCATACTTTGTAGGAAACCCCATTACTAGTTTACATGCATAAGCTAATGACCCATTTATAATTACAACACACTACAGGCTACACACATACAGTATGATATTAATATCTCCTATAGCTTGTGGATAAAGGTCGTAAGATTATCATTGAACAAATGGTGACAACACTAGCCACTGTAGCTGATGCAGCCGAGGAACTATTTGCTCCATACTATCCTCTCTTTATGCCAAACCTCAAGCACTTAATGTCCAACGCTGTCAACAAAGAGCATCGTCTATTGAGAGGGAAAACAATCGAATGCATTAGCTTTATTGGTCTTGCAGTCGGAAAGGAAATGGTAGGTGTGGTCTGGGCCTGGTTTGTTAATGGGTGTGGTTTATTTCTTCAGTTCATGCAAGACGCTCACGAGATATTGGATTGTCTTTTTAAAGTTCAATCAGAGCAAAATACATGGGAACCAGATGATCCTCAGGTACTCCATTATTGCCAATAGCAGCTGCCAGGCTTTATAGTATTCACACTAGTATTACACAGTGTAATAGTGCTACATACATGCATTTATAGTCTCAGTTAGTTTGAATCTATTGATTTGTATTAGGCGTCATATATGATCAGTGCTTGGGCTAGGATATGTAAGATTATTGGCCCTGAGTTTGTGGCTTATCTGCCATTCGTTGTGCAACCACTGATACAAGCAGCTAGCATAAAACCTGAAATCGCCATTGTTGATTGTAAGTCACATAAAACACACACACACACACATTCATTCTCTCAATCCTTTGTCTCTTAGCCATAGATGCTGAACAGAATTACAGCGAAGATGATGGCTGGGAATTCATCACATTAGCAGATCAAGTTAGTCAGTCTCTATAACTTTTTACATGTTGATTGGTATGTTCCCCCTACAGCAAAAGTTTGGTATAAAGACAGCTGGACTGGATGACAAGTGTACTGCAATGCAAATGCTTGTTGTGTACGCTAAAGACCTAAAGGAAGGATTCATTGATTATGCCGAGCCTGTGAGTTTGTTAATTTTTATCTTTCTCCTTTCAACTACTCTTTCTTCTTCAGGTGTCAAAGATAATGGTCCCTCATCTCAGGTTTTACTTTCATGAGCTGGTGAGGGCAGCAGCTGCTGAGATTATCCCTCACTTATTAGAATGCATCCAATCAAAAGGTTATTCTCACTAATAATGTACCAACTCCACTGATATTGTATTGTGGAAGCAATTGGCTTTATGTCTGCTGTTTTGACCCATATGTGTGTGAGGCAGTAGGTGTTTGTTACCTTTGTTCACAAAATAAACTTGTCTCCTGTTGTTGGGTTGGTCTCTTCAATGGTACAAACAATCCCATGATGAAGGTACATGTACATGCACGTGTGTATAGGTGTTAGTGTAAAAAAGTTGCTCAAAAATCTGGCCAAAGACCATGTACATGTACTATAGCTACATACAGGGTATTTTGCCAAAAATGGCTAGGAGAGAGTTCTCAATTTTTGTAATTTTTTGAAACGTATGCATGTACTTACATGTATGTTGAATGTTTATGTTGTGTAGTTAATTCTGATTGAAATTAGATTTTTTAAAGAATTTAAAAAGATATTATTAAACTACAATCATGTATACTTGTTTGTGTTCACGTAGGTCCTGATGCGGTGGCTGCAATGTGGAGTTACATATCTGAGAAACTTCTAGAAGCGATTCCTCTGGAGCCGGATTCTGAGATAACAGGAATAATGATTAGCTCATTATGCAAAGTAAGACAACCATTGGAGCCCTAAATACCAGTGTCTTTGATTTGAGACTTCTGTTATTTTTTTCCTGGTAGTGTATTGAGTTGCTTGGCTTGAACTGCTTCACAACTGAGCAGTATACAAAGATAGTTGATATCATTAACGATCAGATTGAGACTTGTTTCCTCAAACTAAAGAAGAGACACGATAAGAGACTCGACGAGGATTACGACGAAGAAGTTGAGGATGAGCTTGAAGCTGAAGTTAGCAAATTAATTTTCGCTCTTCCCTCCATCTTTACTCTCTCTCTCTCTCTCCCCCTTCTTTTAGGATGAGGAAGATGACAATATAATGAGAAAGATAGCTGATCTAATGCACTCACTGTTCATGACACATGGCTCTGCTTTGCTTCCTTTCTTTGATCAGCTCCTACCAACATTCACCAATATGCTCGTAAGTCCATGCATCATGCAATAATACACTTATATTGAGTCCACTGTATCTTGTAGTCATCAGACAAGCCCTCCTCGTATAGACAATGGTCATTATGTGTCTTTGATGATCTGTTGGACTTTGCCAGTGAAGTAAGAAAGAGCTGATTCTAGGAAAGTATCACATTGTTTTTTTATGTAGAGTGCTATAAAGTATCAGAGTCATTTCCTTCAGCCAATGCTTGACTCTATATGCAACCATTATCCTCCTACCCGACAAGTCTGTGAACACATTCTTTCATTGCTATGATTATTGCACTGTGTATTTTTATTTTTAGGCAGCAGCCTATGGCATTGGTATAATGGCTGTTAACTGTAGCAAGGACTTCATAAATGTGTTTGAAGGTAAAAGAAACTATACTTTACTAACTATACTTAAAAGTTAAAATTATAATGGCGTGTTTTTGTACTGGTACAGGTGCTCTGTCATCACTCATTGTGTCAGTGCAGGGAGCCACTGAAGTAGACATGCCTACCATTCATGCTAAAGACAATGCTATTTCTGCTGTTGCCAAGATATGCCGTCACATTGATGGTATTGCTCTGGATACTGTGCTTCCTCTCTGGCTCTCATGGCTACCTGTGGTGGAAGACAAAGAGGAGGCCTCTCACGTTTATACATACCTCTGTGATCTAATTGAGAGGTAGAGAGAGGGGGGAGGGAGAGAGAGAGAGAGAGAGAGAGAGAGAGAGAGAGAGAGAGAGAGAGAGAGAGAGAGAGAGAAGGATGTTAAAGCATTTACATGTACATTGTACTTAATCTTAAATGTAATACTGTATGAGTGGTTTTTTCAAGGTTGCAAATTTGGCAAATCTTGTGAATTCCTTCCTGATTCATCAAAATAAAATCCACAAAAATCAGTACTCGCATGGTAGAATTTCCAAAATTAAAATCCGCAAATTAGAACATAATTTTGCGAAATATAATTCCCTCAAAAAAGCCCACTTCCAAGCGTACAAATGTACATGTATATGGTAATCAGCATTGTAATATGTAGCTCATGTATGATTGTATATTTTTCAATGTTCATTTGAGTATTTCATATTCTCTCTTTTTTTGTAGGAACAATGCTAGTATTCTTGGAGCAAACAACGAAAACGTTCCAAAGATATTAGGAATAATTGGAGACGTCATTTCTGAGGAAGTTCTCACTAATAACGACCTTGTCCTTCAAAGATTGCTGGCCATTGCTCGACACGTACAGGTAAGTAGCGCTTGTACTTTGGTGTATTTTTATGTATTAACATGTACTGTAGGGCACCTTTTTTAGGGCTGTAAATTTTGCAAATTTTGCAATTTTTTAAAGATTTACAAAAATTTTTTCCGCAAAAATTAAATTACTAGAAGATGGCAGGTGGCATAAATTTGCAAAAATTAAATCCACAAAATAGATTTTTAGGCAAATTCGCGAAATTTACAGCCCTCGAAAAAGGTGCCCTATGGTATTGTGTTAAATAATACATTTATGTATTTTTATATATTTTTATGCACTTGTACTTTTTATGACATTTTATGAATCTAACATTGTTTTTTTTCAGGCCAGTGATGTTTGGGATTCTTGTTTGCAGTATTTATCTAAAAGACAGCAAGTTGCTCTGACTAATGCTCTTCGGTAAATTGGTACAGTTTCGTGACTCATCCCATTCAGATGACTCTTCACTTTATTGTCAATTCGTTCCAGCAATGACTTCATCTTTGCTTTTTATTTTATTAAATAATTATTAATTTTTTTGGATTTTAATTACCATAGTCACACAGACACACACCCAATGACCACGTGCAGTCACGTGTGTGCCAGTCATAAAAATGGCCACCTGTTCAGGTGAAGACGTATTGAGCAAAAGCGTTATTTTGGTGGGAGAGCAACTCATTACGCAGCTTGGAGAAGACCAGAGCGAGGACGGGAGGTTGAACGAAGAGACTCTAAACAAGCTTCACTTCATATACGGTCCTTCTCTATACCAGGCACTCGACGCCATTGACAAAAACGAGATAAAATGTCTGACAACTCCAGCTGGGAAACCTGTATATGTAATACAAGCCTCAAGAGGGGCCAATCAATACATTTGTCTTCAGTCACTCAATTACTGTACATGTCCATACTTTTCTTATCACGTTTTGGCTCAAAGAGATGCATTGACATGCAAGCACTTGCTGACTATGAAATTAGCAATTTCTTTAGGTCTCTCTCTCCAACCTGAGCCAGTCACACTCTCTGAACTAACACTCATAGCAAATAATGATAAATAGCATGTACTGATACTATTATACACTGTATCAACTGTTATTGTGTATTGCAGCAATGCCAAGTACATATATGTATGGCAAAAATCATTGCTGTGTAGTTTAGTTTAACTTCTGATTTGTGCTCTAATTAATGATCTAATAATGATCATTTTTTAAATGTTTTCTGAAATTATCAAAAATAACTATTAATACATGAAACACTGTACGATTCATGTGTGCAATCAATGTTTTATTCTCTTCCTAATCTCTTTTTCGACTTTGCTTGGCGGTTGCATTCCAGTACCAGAGGAACTGTAGCACAATGATGGAATTTAAAGTCAGCGAGGAAATGAACGTTGCCATCAGTAGAAGATCCCCTGTCTCTTGTATGGTGGTAAAGACTCGTGCAATATTACCAATGAAGTTGAGGAATGCCGTTATAAAGGAGAGCTGCCCTGTTGATCCATTATTGTATACAGTCAGTACAGTTGTCAGCTAAATTAAATGAAAGTAAATATACTATTGAGCGTTCCGGGATTTTTAATAATCAGTAAAATAAAAAAAATAATTATTCTTGACTATCAGTGGAGGGTTGTATTGTCTGTGCATTGTTCAAACACAATTTAATTTTCTATTTCATCGTTATGATAGTTGTGTACGCATATTCTGATTAAATAATGCAAAAATAACAAAAACGAATACTTGCTTAGCTACATTGCCATAATAAAAGTATACCTCCGATTATTGATGTTTTGCTTATTCTGTTATTTTATACCAAAAGGTAAACCAAACTTGGCAATACTGATGTGATTGTACGATTGATAATTGTTAAGATTAGTTGGACTATAGCCTAATGACTCCATTGACTATAGTGAGAGTGTGTGAGTGAGATAACATTACTTAATACTGAAAATATACACATCAAAAAGATTAACAATATGAACACAAATGGAAATACGTGTAGCATAATAAGCATATGCTTGACTAGGGCACCATTACTTGTACATCTCTTTATTATAAAATGAATCAAATAGCAAGCAGACTTTTAGGTCAGTTACATTAAAAATTATAATGACTAAATCTAACCTGCTTAATTATAGTACAATGTAGTGCATGCTTCTCAAATCAACTTTAAAAGTTCCTTTATGAATGCTATGCACTATAGCAGGGGACATTTGTGTCTTTCTTGATTGGAAGCCACGATTTCAGCATAGTGCTCATGCAGCTTCTTGTCAGTAGATTGTCAAGTTGCTCAAAAATTGGGTCAAAGACCCTGTACTACACATGTATATACATATAGTACAGGAACTTATAGGCAAAATTTCATCAAAAATGACTAGGAGAAAATTTTCATTTTAATAATTTTTTCTGATACATATACTTGTTCTTATGTTGTGTATTAACTTTGAGCTGATTCCAATCAAATTTGGATTTTTTATATTTTTTTAAGTTGCTCAAAAATCAAGCTAAAGATCAAAGGCTATAGCCTTTAGTCTTTGATGAAATTTTATCAAAAATGAATAGGAGAGAGATCTCCATTTTTATAAATTTTTCTGATACATATGCATGTTCTCATGCTGTGTTGAAAGTTTGAGTGGATTCCGATCAAAATTAATTTTTTTATAAATTTTTAATGTTGTTCCAAATGCCATGTACTACATAGAGTTTAGCTCACTATTAGCATGCTTTGTGGGAAATCTATTTCCCAATTGGTCCTTCTAATTGTTAATAAATATTATGATTATCATATGCCTCATAATTGTATGGTCACTTGCAATCAGATGTGCCACAAAGCTGTTACAATAATAATGAAACTTCTCAGAAATGTTATTGTTCAATTCCTTATTGCCCAGTAGCATACATAAGCAGCTGGATGATTGTTATCATAATTTAGAGTTCAGGGCAGTTTAAAGGTTAGAATGACACTACTCTCAGCTGTCACATATTTTCTATTCTTAAAATTATAATAAATTGTACTTAGTACAAACACAATAGTAATAACAATAGTAACAGCATTGTTGATACACAATAGGGAAATATTTTCAACATGTGTAACATTTAGATTAATCATTATCTTAAAGCTACAGTTGTACACAGCCAATAACAATGTCAGTTATGTTATAGCTAATGTCTCATTACATAGGAAGAAACTTGTAGCTACAACATTATCAATGCCAAAAATAATCATCTATCTACAGTGTACATTACAATAAAAAACAACCATGATACACACACCAAGTTCCTTTACAATACATGATTCCATGCAACAGATAAAAGTCCAATGGTACATTGCATGTCTATCTTACCCTACTAGCAAGCATGAGAGGTATAACAATGGCCTGGAGTGTAGTATTGAGACCGCCAGGGGCTAAACCAGACACCAGGAACCACACCCCGGCACTATAAGCTATTAGAAAGGGGGCAATGATCAACACATGCTGTCTTATGACGGCCATTAGAATGAGGATAATGAGGACTTGAACACTGATAAAGAAACTCTCGCCCCATGTACTAGAAAGTGCATATTATAATTTAAGAAGCTTGATAACAATTATAGTAAGTAGTTATACCTGAATGGGAATCCTTTTTCGTAATTATAAGTAGATGAGAATGTCACAGCTCCTAATTCCAAAATGCAAGCTAAATAGCTTATACTCTCGGTTGAATAGTTCTTTACTATCTTGTATATCTGTGGAAACTTGACTGGAAAAGAGAGCAGAATGATCTAGGCCAGGGTTTCCTTCAGAGTTTTTGGTAGTAGATTTTATACATTTAAGTTGCTCAAAAAATGGGTCAAAGATCATGTACAGTGGCCAAATTTCACCAAAAATGACTAGGAGAGAATTCTTAATTTTGATTATATTTTCTGATACATATTGATGTCCTTATGCTATGTAGAAAGTTTGAGCTGATTCCGACTTCAATTTTTTGAGTTATGGCCATTTTTAAAATGAGCCAATTTCTGAAAAATACCCTGTAGCCTATGGTTTTTCTGAAAAATGGCTCCAAAATCACCCCAAATTTTTATTACATTTTCTGATACATATTGATGTCCTTATGCTATGTAGAAAGTTTGAGTGGATTCCGACTTCAATTTTTCAAGTTATAGCCATTTTAAGAAATGGGCCAATTTCTGAAAAATACCCTGTACTATAGCCCATGGTTTTTTCCAAAAAATGGCTCCGAAATGACCCCCAATTTTTATTACATTTTCTGATACATATTGATGTCCTTATGCTATGTAGAAAGTTTGAGCTGATTCCAACTTCAATTTTTCGAGTTATGGCCATTTAAAAAATGAGCCAATTTCTGAAAAATACCCTGTACTATAGCTCATGGTTTTTTCTGAAAAATTGCTTTGAAATCACCCCCAATTTTAATTACGTTTTTTGATACAATTATGCTATCTAGAAAGTTAGAGCTGTTTCCAACAAATAATTTTTGAGTTATGAGCATTTCAAAGAAACAAAAGTAGCTCCAAAAGTTAACCATATTTTTTAGCTCACTTTGCATGTTTTGTGGGTACCCCTGATCTATGCTACAATATTTAAATCATAATACCTCCTAATGCTCCTAAAATGACACTTAAACTCAGCCACCTTGAAAGAGCTATGGTCAAGCATTCTCCTAAAAATAATAAATAATGTGTGTTGAATATTATTTACAATAAATTGGGTTATCACAACTCATTAACAAGCCCCACCTCTTTGTGCATTCAACGAGCCCCACCCATAATCATTAGTAGCAATTAGCAAATGCAAGCAAATAAAATCTAATTTATTACCAACATCAACAAAATAATGGCTAGACACAAAAATTAGATTTGACCCAGATTCTACCATATAATTATAAACAATGCCTTGTATATTTACGATAGAATTTAAATTATTAAAAAAATTAAATTATTGTTTAAAGTCTTACGATTAAAGAACTGGTACTCCTGGAACACTTTAACATAACAGTCTCCAGGAAAGAAATAACTAAACAATGCATCCATGCCCACGGTAGTCTAGTGGGGATAAAGAGCTGGAGGATTGAACCCACGTGAGGGATCATCTTACTTCACAAACTGGCCTCCCCTTTTCCAAGATAAAGAAGTACTAAGAGACAGAGAGAGTATGACAAGTGACAACGAGTAACAATGGCGCCAGCTGTTAGGAATAGGCGTGTAGGATCTCCTCCTCCTATTAATTCAGAGCATTGGTATGGCCTCCTGGCTCGCTCCTCATTCCTCTTCACTCTTTCCTTACTGTTAAACTCCCACACTATACTTGGTGGTTTCGTGTTTGATGATAATGAAGCCATTGTTAGCAATCCAGACGTAAGGTAATCATTCTTGCCTAATATGGAAGCACTGTCACTTTTGATGTACCTTCCAAGACATTACACCACATGCTGCACCATGTTATTTTAATGGCTTCCTTCATTGTAATTGCTCATCTCCTAATTAGGTCTCATGTGACCTTCACCTCTGTGTTTGCTAACGATTTCTGGGGTTATCCGATATCAGATCCTGAATCGCACAAGTCCTACAGGCCACTGACGACATTGAGTTTCCGTCTCAATTATTGGATGCATGGGTTGTCCCCTGGTGGCTATCATGGCGTCAATGTACTAGTCCACAGTATTGTCTGTGTCCTGGTCCATTATGTACTAATGGTAGCTGGTGTTAGAAGGAATGTATCGTGGCTCACTGCATTACTCTTTACAGTGCATCCTATACACACTGAAGCAGTATGTACATGTACATGTATATGCACACACACATTCATTTATGTGCATATAAGTGTAGCATATGATTATTGGTAATGAATTGTATTTACAAGTACCTCGTAAGTCTAGACAAAACCTTTAACTATTCCCAAATTACAATTCGTTTTTGAAGTGCTTTGAATTTCAATAAAACTGTCTTTATTGATATTTTATTTCAAATTCCTGCAAGCTTTGCAACAGTCGGTCATTATTTCAAACGATTATCAGCTCATAGCTGAGACACTAGCAATCAGTATCGATTACAGCAATTAGGAACTCCTTAACAACTACTATGACGTTTGTCTCTTATTGATCTCCTCTATATGGCTGTACCATGGCGATATTTATAGCAGCTTTACTATAGCGTGCGTGTACACATGTGATGTGATTCGTTTCCATAGATGCATCTTCAACCAGTCTATCATTTGATGTACATATAAGTATGTATTATGTAGTAAAGCTTTTAACATTAAGTTGTATGGATTCTATGTATACTCGTTACTAATGATTGTTTTATTCACGAGTACAATTAATATGCCATACGCATGCGTCTGATCCTATTTCTGTTGAACCGGAGTCTTAGATGTGTAGGGTTTGAAGACATGATAGGTGATGTCATGGTTGAATGTAGTCGTGTGGCTAAGATTTTTGTGACTTCATGCTAAATTTTAAGGGCCTTTAGTGAAAAATGATACCTTTGCTGTGGTTTTATTGTTAGGAACTCGATGATGTAAGGGTTTTGCAATCAAAGTGTGATTAATATACAGTTTGAAGCTTTGTGTGGATTGGTGCCCCTAGTATTCGTGGTTACCATACAATGATAATAATAACAGCAAGTTCTTCCTTTTCCTTATGTGTTTATTATAACCTCTCTCTCTGTTGTGGGTTAAGATTCCCCTAATGCCACATGTTCATGATTGATTGATGTAATGTATATTGTGTCCTCTTGGTTTTATTGTGGTATTCTATTGATAGGGTCTTGATTGTGTGGTCAGTGACTGCATACACATAGTGAATCTCTTCCCCTCCCTTTCTTCCTATTCTGCCTCAAGGCTTTTCCTAATGTTTATTTATTTAATTAGTGTTTGTAAGCCTTGCATAGACTCACTGTAGCCATTCCTCTTTAATGATATTATATCAGGGCATTGTGCATGAGAATGGAAATTAGGTGTTGCCCTTATTACAATTAGATCATTTTACATACCACTTCTTCCCACAAAATCATGATCTAGTAATGCACATAATATGAGCGTAGGTTGGATGCAGTCATTCTAGCATGAGAAAGTGGCTCTTTTGATGTTTCAATTTTTAATTCATGTGATTGGCATCTATTGTATTTCAGAAACCTTTACTTCCTTGCAGTACCATACAATGTGTGTGTGTGTATATATTAATATATCGTGTATCCATGCTTTTTACATCATTTAAACTTGTACTGATTCTACATTGTTAGATTCACCTCAAATTGTGATACTCTATATTCCATTATTTCATTTCCTCTTCGAGGAACTTTGCATCATAGCACACCCGTGTGATGTATGCCATTCAGCTACTAGTCATTTGTATTGTATTTGTATTTTTAATGTATGCCATGCTGCTGAAGTCATGTCTAGCACTATTTGATTTATTATTAGTGATCTCGGTGTGCTATATTCAAATCTGTTTGCTATGATTAACAATTATTGCTATGCACTCTTTGTCTCTTGCTATGATAATGACAATTAATGATGACAGTGTCTAAGCTTATTTCTGTCCTTCTATCATGCCTAGTTGTAATTGACCAATCAGATTGCAGAATGCCAGGTTTCTAAATCTATTAGATACCTCCCGGGAACACTTATTAACCTCCCGGGAACACTTATTAACCTCTTGGTTTATTAAATAAAATAAGTGAAACCTGGCGCTCTACGCTTATGCTCTCATTAGTCCATTTGTCAAGCTTGGTTGATTCTTTACTGCCTAGCCTGTTAGATACGATGTATGCATGTCAACTGTGGTCTTATTATCAGCAGCTGGTAGTTGTTTTCAAATGTTATGATAGAAGTTGGTTATACACCTCGGTATCGGTTTCTATGGCATTTATTAACCTCGCGACTGCGTCGCTCGGTTAATAAATACCATAGAAACCTCTACCTCGGTGTATAACCTATACTTCTAATTATCTTGAGGCATGGCTAACAATTAGTCAAAACATAGAGATAAGTCCTTTTATTGATGTGTTTTTCATTATCATCATTCATCTTTCCTGTCTTATCCCTTTCAAGAGGCTACTAAGGGACTTTATTGGATGACTTTCAGTATTCTTTATTATTGTTTTGTCTTCACAGGTCGCTAATGTGGTTGGTAGAGCTGAATTGTTGTCAGCTTTGTTCTTTTTCCTCTCATTCCTCTCTTATCTCATATCCATCAAGACCGACGGTGGTACATATACATGGAGGATTACAGCAGTATCATTAGCTGGAGTTAGCATGCTCTGTAAAGAGCAAGGGATCACTGTATTGGCCGTTTGCATATTTTACGAGCTACTCCTCAAAAGCAGGAGGATTTGGTTGCACCTTAGAGGCGCGTTAAAGTAAGAATTTAATATATTTTTAGTATCATGTAGTATATTGTATTGCTAAAGCCAGCATAGGCATTATATAGTATGGAATAGTAGTGTATTATGACGTGTTCTTAAGTACTAGTTTCTTTCATCTTCTTTTTTCATTTCCTGTCTCTCCCTTTTCTCATCCCTCTATTCCTATTAATCCTTTACTCTAATGGTCGTAATTAGTGTGACGCCTTTACATTAGGTTAACATGATTGGGGTTGCCAGGTTGGTTGGCTTTTTGGTGCACACACACATTTCCTAAGTACATGTATACACACAAACACTCAGTTGACAGCTTCATATTATCTGTTATGTATATATAAGCTAGACTATGTGCAATACATGTAATGAGTGTTAAAACTGAATTAAGAACAGCTGTTACCATTAGACTCTGTGTATCTATGTGGATAGTGGGAGATTATTTTGTTTGAAAACAGCACCCAACAATTTTGTTCTCACTCAAAGAGAAGGATCAATGAAGAATGCAAAAACAATCAAATATTAGATAAAGGTTTACAGGGAGACAAGAGCGATGAGACTAAACACTTAAACAATAAGACAATGATTTTATTATTAGCATTATTATTATTATTATTATTATTATTACTGGGGGGGAAGGAGGGTACCTTAACAGTCTTACGTGTGGCCTGTAGCTACATGTGAATGTTGAAGAAGTGTACACGTACAAGCCCATTGTTGATTACTATTAACAGTTGAACCCAACAAAAGGAGCTCATACAAGTGAAGGATATTATATCATATTGTTATATAGGCTCACTGGTGGGATCTATTATCTTTATAATAATATTATATTATTTACACTATCTCTGGGACTAGCTCTACTAGCCAGACTTTTGATCAGTCAAGGAAGACCTGCCTTTGTTTACTCTGATAACCCAACGTCATTCTCTGATTCAATTTTAATCCGCACTCTCACTTATTCTCATCTGACATCACTTAACGTTTGGTTATTGATGTGTCCTTCATTGCTTTGCTTTGACTGGTCAATGGGTAGCATAGTGTTAGTAAAGACACTTAACGATTATAGAAACATTGGCAGCGTCACACTGTTTGCTTTTCTTATCATCATCATTATCAAAAGTTAGCCAAATATTGATGTGTTTCATTGTCACCAAGGTAACCCTCCCTTTTCTTTTAAGCAGATGTTGTGGAGTTCTTTCGTCCACCGAAAGTTTCCCAGACAACCACACGAGTGTCCAGCCACAACAGATCCTCTTTGAGCACTCTGATCTCAACCTTGTGGCCAGGAGAGAAAAATAATTCATTCGCATGCCTCTTGGGCCTCTCATTACTAATCATACCATACATACCTGCTAGTAATCTCTTCTTTCCTGTTGGGTTCGTGCTGGCGGAGAGAGTACTGTATTTACCAAGTGTTGGGTACTGCTTGCTTGTCTCTCATGGATTTTATGCCATCAACGAGAGATTAAGAAGAGGGGCAAAGAGACCTACTCCTGAGGTGTGTATTGATGTGCATCGATTGTTAATGATTTAATTGATTAGCGCTAATGCTAATGGTATCTTCTTATCAGATTAATGAGTAAATGTTGTTCCTCCTCTTCCTCCTCTCTATTCATGCATGTATACATGCATTTATCTTATTATCTTTTCTCAAAGCTTTTCTTATCCTTTCTTATTTTATTCTTTTCTCCCTTCTCTCTCTCTCTCTCTCTCTCTCTCTCTCTCTCTCTCAGCTGTTACAAATTGTACACATGTTCTTAAATCTTATAGCCATGTTACTATACCTTCATGTTGTAGTATGCTTGACTGGCACTAATGATGAGCCATATGCATATAAAAATCCCTTACTCCATGTATGCATCACAGTTCAAAAGTAATATTCCTTTTTGAATGTACTTATACTGACCACTTAGAGTATACACACACACACATACTGCTACAATGACATTACCCTCATCAAATCATCATCATTATTACTTTTTATGTCATTACTCTGTGTGTGTGACTGTGTGTACATGTACATGTAGTATACTACTATTGCGTTATTTTGTATGGCATATCCTACACATGTTAAGCATACTTGTTGACTATTATTATTGGAAGAGGTTGTAATCATCTGCTATTAATCTATTTTCAGGCGATCCTAAGTAAACCACTAATGACACTTTTCATTTTGATACTTTTGATGTTCTCTGCAAAGACACTGATAAGGAATTGGGAGTGGGGGGACACCGAGAGACTAGCTGTGTCTGGACTGAAGGTCAACCCTCTCAATGCAAAAGTACACTTTGCAATGGGAAATGTTTTAGCTCAACAAGTAAGAGAGAGAGAGAAAGGGACAGAGAGAGAAAGAGGGAGAGATAGAGAGTCAGAGAGAAAGAGAGAGAAATAAAGAAGAGAGAGAATAGTTACATTACCTCCCTCTCAATCCCTCCTTCATTCCTTCTCTTTATCACCCCTCCCTGAGGTTAGTAATGCTTACTAAGAAAATAATTAGCTGTAGTCTTTTGACAGTTTGTGACATTACCTGTACGTGTACATGCGGTAGCACTCACTAATAATGAATTATCCTCATCACGACCAGGTGGTGCCAAAGAGAGGACATTAAAATATTCGTCTCTTAGCAACAGCATATCTAGGGATGACCTCTGAGGCATTAAAAATGAATATTTGCCTTTATGAACATACATTACATAATGTGAAGATAAAATCATTAACTGCACAACCACTGATGAGCATTGAACATGTATAATAGTACAATGTGCATAGTGTACATGATGTAATGCATACACGGAGTGCATATTGTTGTCATTGTACTCATCGTTAGTAATTTGTATTTGAGCACTTATTAAACATCAAATGAATGTCTTATTATATCCCAGAGTCACTCTTTTCCTGCTCTCCTTTGTGCAATTGTACTCTCTCTATTGCTTTTTATGTAACAATTAGTTTGTAGAGTTGTTCAAAGGGAGCATTGTTCACCTAACAATACTATTGTTATAATACAATGCACTGAATGAATGGTCCTGAATTGGTTGTTATTCTCAGCATTGCAATGTTCACACACACTCACTGATTGCACATGAAAAACAATGTACACAGCACAGCACATATACAGATCATCAATATAGTGAGAACTGTTTTAATTATAATACGGATGATACAAATCATCCTTATATTAAATAATAATTACTCGATGGGAACGATTGAGTGATTCTTATTTGATTGACCTTTATAATTAGTAGAAAGTGATACCTTTCTTCCTGATATGCTATCCTTTAATCAGCCTTTAATATGCTAGTGTATCATTTGATGTCTGTGTATGTGTGTGACCTTACTTCTCTTGTATTGTATTTCCCTTAGGGGCAAGTTCATAGTAATTTAATGATGCATAATATAAGTGTTTGTGTTCTGTGTGTGTGATTCTGACACTGTTGTGGTCATTTGACCTGTAATGTTTGTAATACAACATGTGGTTTGATTGTGGTGGCTCATTCCTTACATTCTCTGTAGACTAACATTATTATCTAATATTAGAGTCTACATGAGTCAGAGTATGATCCTATAATGTCCATGTACTATGATATCTACATGTTTCCCCATACCTCACTATTGCCCATGCATGTAGGGCATCATATGAGAGTTCATTATGCACATTAAGGATTGAGTCCCCTGTCTATAATGGTCACTGACACTGTGATAATGATGATTATGTAATAAAGGTGTGAGAGTGTGGCGTGTGGGTTGATTTATATTGAGTTATTAAATATACTTTCAAAAAAGCAGTTGGGGGCTAAAACTGAAATCAAATGTAAAGGCAAGAATCTATCTAAGAGGGACGCTATTTCTAATTCAGCTTTTTTAGCACGAGCGTAGCGTTTCATTCTCTTTCTCTTCTTGTGTGTATTTTTCTTTTGGCGTACTTTATATATTTATTTTTGTGTGAATAGTCCACACAGACCCATTAGTGAACTCCCCCAGTCCAATCTCACCTCTCCCTCATTAATCATAACAGCTAGGGCCTCTCACTCTCTCTCTCTCATGTGTTGTTTGTGGATGTGGTTTAAAGTACAAACTTGCTCCTTTTATGTCACTCTTAATTTGCTTTCATGCTACAAATTCAATTATTATTTTCTACTACACTTTACATGCATAGGGAAACAGGTCCTGTGAAAAATATTACCGACAAGCATTGGAGCTTAAGCCAGACTACATACTGGCACTAACCAACCTGGGTCTTGTCCTACTTAATACAGGTAAAGGCTTGTTATCTATTTTATGTAATTAGGTACATTGATAATGCAAATTATCAGCTTGTTTATGCAAACCAGTTGCAATAAACAAATTAGTATCATTTGCTATTATTATTATTGTTATTGTTATTACATGCTGCTATACATATTATAAGTATTAACATTATGAATTTTTTTACATTTTGTTGCATAATTATAATTGTACCAATGCTTGTCAGTCTGGTACACATTGCATGTGTGTGTGTGTGTGTGTGTGTGTGTGTGTTTGCAGTATACATGTATGTGCATACCATATTACCATTACAAGTATGTCCATGCAGTGCTTATGTGGGTTGTAGCCTATGCATGTTTATGGCTTATCCTTTTAATGTCTTTTCTATAAGGAATTAGTCCAGTGGAGGCAATAAGTCTGCGTTGCTGTTCAATGTGGCTTACAATACATTATCTAATGTTTATCCTTTATAGTAGGAGAGAGTGTGAGAGTCTGTAGTAGCATGTACTCTGGGTGGTAGGTGATGCCTGACCTCTTGTATATATATTTTATTTTCAAAATGATTGGTATAGGGTTATCAGTTAGATTTGTAATGCCCCAATAAGCTGTGGTTAATGCAACCAAATCTCAAGACATAAGGTGATAATATTGTTATTGCTTAGGGAAACCACTGTATCGGGCTTGTACGGTAATCTGTTATCAGAGCCTTCAAGACGATACACTCAATTGGAGTGTACATGTAGATGCATGCAAACATAAACTGAATCTTCGTTTGAAACATCAAACAAATAGAAACAAATCTCTCAGTGAAACTTAGACTAATCGCAACTTTGTGCTGGACTAATCTACACATCTCTTCTTGTTTCAACCACTTGTTCCTTTATCAGACGAAAGGGACTGCCAAATGAAGTTTATTTGCCGTTTTGCAAAAGGTCAACGATAACAAATTGTGGTTTGACCACGGGAAATGGATAGGCGATGCATATCTTGGCCCTACTAGTGTCTAGTCTTAACAACGTTTTGTGTATATTTTCAGTATGTAACCACTTCAAGAAGCTAAGAATCACATTAACAAAAAGCCTTTCTTATCTATTGGCCAAATGTGGTGTGCTACACTAACACAATACCAAAAGAGTAGACTGTAAATACAATAATCTGAAACCAAATATATAACATGTCCTGAGTTACATAATGCACTGAATCCATAATGATAGCATCTAGTGACTCACTCACAGCTATGCATGATACATGTACATGGGATACTAGTGTATTTATGCGCTATCGATTCTGGATTCCTACAGTCCATAGACATAGGAGACTATTATGTGCACATTAAAGGTAATTCCAGACACACACACTATAGTAACATATTAGGGACGGTGTGTCCTGATTATATGGTATATTGGGAGTTGGTCATTGAGTCATTGCTGTATTACGTGCGGAGTAGGATGGAATAGTATAGCATCATTACTATGCAATGTATGTGTTTTGATACTTAAAAACAGCATACACTCCTGGCACAAGTATTTATATAATCATAAGCCATAAGTATGGATCAACTGAGGCCCCATGCATGTATGATCCAGTCAAACTAACACTATAGTTCATAGTGTACCATCATGCAGTGTAAATACCATTGCATTACTAAATCATGCAACTAAAACTAAATTGCCTATATAGTACACGTGTAATTGTAGCTAGCTAGCAATAACTGACTAAATTGATTCTTAGCATGCTCATATTTCAAACTTTCTAGTAATGCTTATAGCATAAGGGTATCAATATGTGTATACATCTGAAAATACGTTGTTCTCCAAATCACTCTCAATTTTTGGGTGTATATTGACATGTACTTATGCTAGATGAAATTGAGTTGATTCCATTTAAGCTACTAGCAAAACACGATGTACTATATTATAGTCATTTTTATTATTAATAGGTAGAGCCAAAGAGGCCGAGGAATGTTACAAGAGAGCTTTATCCATTAAGCCAGATCACATCACTGCTAACATCAACATGGGGCACTTGTGTAGGCTACAGGAGAGATGGGGAGAAGCACTGGAGCACTATAATAGAGCCAAGGAAAGGAGACCACACTCATCAGTCATGCATTACTATGCTGGTTGGATGCTTAGTGAAACCGGAAAAGAAGAGGTAAAGGGTAACCCAATACTAATGAGTATGTGATTATCTCTTTTGTGGTGTGTGCACGACGCATAGTATGCATAGTCTCGCAATGGAAATAAAGTGTAGTGGAATAGAATAGAACAGCCCTAGTACTATGATTGAGCTACCAATACAATGCAATATGGTGTAATACAATGACATGTGTGGTGTATAGTGCAGTCCAATGATAATATGTATGTCACACCCCACATATCACTTGATTAGTCACTTTACTGAATGAGCAAGTGTGAACAAGTCATAATTGGATTCAAAGTGGTGCTAGGTTGACCTCCCTAGATTGGGTGATATGTGCGTGGAATGGGTGAAAGGGTTTAAGGTTTCTTTGTTCTCACCCTTATTTATGTCACAGGAAGCCAAGAGGGAACTCACGGCAGCTATTGAAATGCATAAAAGAGTAGGAAAAGGCGAATACGGTGATGCTCATTTACTGCTTGGGAGACTCCTGGCTTCTGAAGGTAGTAAACCAACATCTGTCAGGAGGTTAAAGGTGAATTGCTATTAATCCTATTATGTCAACATTATTAACTGGTTGAGGTATGTTGTGGAACATGTGTGAGGTATATACATACAATAACTTACTACTATACAGGGAATGAGAGAGAGAGTGTTTGATTGAGACCAGACAAAAAGACAGACAGACATAATGGGATGGTTTGTGTGTGTGTGTGTGTCAAGTGTATATACAAGCCCTTTGAGCATAGTAGGCTTATGACTTTGAGAGTTGAAGGTGTTTACTGTTACCCAATACTCCCTTTATGCTATGAATATTGATAGACCCTCTGGCCTATAACAATACTATACTATAGAGAGGCTGACCCCTGCATTGACCTGGGCAGCCAATAGTTGAAATTTTCTATGGGTAGCAGTCTGATAAGAGCTTAACAATAAATACTATTAAAACTGCCTATTGTATTAGCTAACAATAAAACTTTATATAGCCTTTGGACTCTCTCATGATAAATTGTATGCTTAATGTACACATCATGAGTGGGTGGTGATTAGGGGATAATTCATCTTAGCACCACTAAGGTAATTCTCTATTGTGTGGGCTATGAACATGACAGGAGGTTAACAAAACTATCCATCTCACAACTAGGAACTGTGTTGATTACACAGACAACCTTCTGATTGATTGAATAGCTTTCAATTGGGAAGCAAATAAAATAGTATCGATATCTTAAGCTTAACTGAGCCATGACCCTGTATTATCTATGTACCAATTCATTCCATTATGTCATGCTTAAGTTGTGAGCTGTGATATAATAATCATACATTATCAGTCACTATTATGATGCAATCCTGTTGTTGTACTACATGTATGTCACATGTCGATGATACTAATGCGTGCATGTGTATTCATTATGTTAATTCTGCATGTGTGGAGAATTATTGCCTAGCACTGATTATTGCCCAGTCTCTTGGAATAAACAAGTATATGAATAACATTGCCTCACTTTCACCTGTCTCTAATAAACAGTCCAATCCTAATACAGCGTAATCTTATCCTTCGTGGTTTTGAGACTAATCTATCACTTGTTTGTGTTTTGCAATTGGGTATGAGGTTAGCGCTTGGGAAGGTAGAGGAATCCCAGCTGTTGGTATTCTTTGAATGTATACTAACGCCAGCATGCTTTAAGGAAAGACTAAAAGTGATTTATTTTGCGTTGCTTATTTTCATTCTGCGAATGCATTTTTGTGGACGATAGTAGAATATCTGGCTAGCACCTTTGATATTCTTGAGGTATATGCATGTATGGGTTCATCTTTTGGCTGTTGGTATATTGTTCCCATTGTCTGTTCCTTTTGTTGCTCCAGCTCATTCTCAAAACACAAATGAGCTGAGCCGATAACAATCCTTTTAATAGCTTCAAAGAGAATCCTACTCTATTCTCACTTTATCCACACAACAGGCCCCCTTTGTCCTCCCTCTGTAACACACCAATGTAAGCTTTGTGTGTGCTAATAAGTCTCCAGACTGTAGTGTATTGTGAAGAAGCCAATACAATTCAGTCCATTTGTGTGGCCATTATATATGTGGTATGGTAATTAGGATTTAGGGAATGCTTAAACAGATTCTGTTCCCTGCACAGGGATATCCTGTTGAACTGCAAATATTGATACACACTCTCTTTGAAGTCGTCTATGGTGCATGACTACACAGTATTGTCCTGAAAGCATAGCAAATCTATTATACAAACAAGCAGATGAGTCTTCTTCAGTAATGTACACTATCAATTAATATCATTGTTAATATCATTGTTTAATTAAGCCATGCAATGTATTACGATAATACACTTGACAGTTTATTCCTCTCACCATGTACCTCTCATGTATGTTCCTTTACAGGCAATCACTCACTATAGAACAGGATTCTCCTTTTCACCGAATTCAGCCACAAAGGAAGATTACTTCAGCATGGGAAGACTTCTGGCTAGAGAAGTGAGTAGGAGTCGAGGGATGTTTGTCCCTTTTTTAAATTTTTTGTATTTTACTTTGCTACAGGGGGAAATTGATGAAGCCAAGCTTTACCTCAATTTGGCTCTACAACTAGCGCCAAACTTCTTAGAAGCTCAAGAAGAATTAATTCGCCTGAAAAAAAAAGCTCCTTTCCTAAATAGACTGGATCACTATTGAAGCAGGGAAATATTTCTGACTATAAAAGATTATTAAGAACTTTGTGATGTAAATGTATGCATGTAGAAATGCATGTAGGTGGAAAATAAACAGTTCCAGCATTATATGATACAACAACAAAAATTATTTATTGTGATAATTAACAGTGATTTGATATTATTATTATTATTATTAACAGTGATATAATGGATGACCTGGCTGGATAGGTGGAAAAATGCAATAAAGAGATGCTAATAATAAGATGACACACGGTCTCTGCCTACAGTGTGTGTAAAAGCAGATATATATTTGTATATACATATACATGGGGTAAATAATACTTATTGTTAAATAGTGTGAACACAAGAAAAAAATAAAGAGGAAATAATTATAATTCTTTGGAGTTTGTATAGTCTCAAAAGTATAGCAATGATAGAGAGAGTCATCTGCTGAATCTATTTAAGAAGAGGAGGAGGAAGAAGAAGAAGAGAGGGCTCTAGAGGGAGTAGAAATAGGAGGAGGAGCTGGAAGAACAAGAATGGTTTGTTGTGAGTGCTGTGCGTCCTTACTGCTTCCTCCTCCTGTAGCTGTGCTTCTATCTTGACCCTGTATAATTTGACCCCGGGCTTGCCTGGTCCACAACTGGCACGAGACACAGTGGCATGCTGGATAAGTCTGGATATACCCTGTAGGGGACTGAGTAGGATGTTGATGGTGAACAGAACTAAGTTCTGGCATACTTTCAGCAGATCTCAGTGCACCAATGTGGTGGTGTGGTGATCCTCCGGTTCCCACAGTCACCACTCCAGGCTGCTGTCCTTGTAGAGCCTGTGCTCCTCCAGCGTGCTGCATGAGAACGTTGACTCCAGCTTGTCCACCTGGTATGAGTAACGGAGGGAGAAGCGAGGAAGAAGGGGAGTTGACTTGAGGTGTAGAGTGACTCTTTATCTCAGAGACTATGACAGGAGTTGTTTTAGACGTGGGCGTAGATTGTGCAGAGAGAGAGCTGGAGGAGGACTCATCCTGGTCAATGATATCTTGCTTATGGTGAGAATACTCCACCACTTCACAGTGCTGCTCGCTGGGTCTATTACCTGCCGCCGCTGCTGCTGTTATGTAACTTGGCGATATCACTTGGTGTGGTGTGCCTGCATCCATTTTAATGAGGATCGTCTGCCCGCCTTGCTTGGCCCCATCAGTCGGATGCATTCCAGCATGCGTCCCACTTGCTGCTTGTATTAAAGGTACGAGCTGATGAGGCGAAGAGGTCAGATGGCTAGGATGAGCTAGCTGTATGATTGGTGTTGCAGTTTGAATGATCTGTGTACCAGCTGGAAGTAGGGGTTGTCTCTGAATGAGGTACGTCGTTCCTCCTCCAGCAATCGAAGCTGCTGGCTGGAGGCTTTGAATGAAATTGGTTGTAGTTGCAATTGGTGAGTGATGTAGACCATGACTAGTAACAACTTGCTGGGGGAGTATTTGAACCTGGTGTGGTCCTACAAAGCCTGCAGCATCAGATGCAGTGTTGGTGGAGCTACTGCAGTTTGAGCTGGTGCTACCAGTTGAGCCAGGAGAGAGGCTAGATAGAGAGTAAGGTGTGCTTGCAACACTCATCCTTCCACTTCCACCACCTCCTCCAGCCTTGAATGGGTTTTTAGGCTTCCTCCTCGGCCTGTATCTGTAGTGCGGGAACTCCGCCATGTGTTGCTCGCGGATCTTCTTTGCCTCCTCTATGTAACGATGCTTGCTGGTGTCAGAGAGTGCTTTCCACTCGGCGCCCAGCTTTTTGCTCAGCTCAGAGTTGTGCATCCGAGGGTTCTCCTGGGCTAGCTCCTTGCGTCTCTCTTTCGACCACACCATGAAGGCGTTCATTGGTCGCTTGATATGATCCGGTGCTCTAGACATAATGGTCATCAGGTTAACTGCAGGGACACAAGAGAGAAAAGAGAGGGCGAGAGAGAGAGAGAAGGGAGCAGAGAATAGCAGAGACAAAAGTAAAGCTTAACAGTAGAATTGAAAAGGATTGTAGTCAGAGACATGCAGAGTTTATATATCAATAAAGCCTACATTATGACATGGAATGGTAAAGTCCCTGGCCTACTTACCTAGTAAAGGAAACAGTACTCAGTTGAAAGAAATAATCCCTCTTGTTATAAGACGGACCTGTGTCTCCGAATGATTATATCTACCAGTACGAGCCTATTATGCAACTGTCTTTGGACTAGCAAGGCAGGCTTTATTAAAATTGTTTTAAAGAGAGGAAGTGGCATGCTCCAATTAACCTCTATGTAAACAAACTCATTGTTAAGTAATGAATATGATCACAGTGAGAGAATGATCGTCTATACTATGGCACTAGAATCACTATTCCCTGGTAAACACTTAATGCAAGAAATATGCACTGCGCGAGAATCCTCCATGCCTCCCTACCTCTCATAATAGTTCACTGTAAAACAATCAAATTAATTTCATTTAGATTTTAACCCAAAACTAAGTCTAGGTCTGTTCCCTTTCCTGTTCAGCAACGTCTCTTGCTGTAACTTCTCTGCCTTCCTCTGTGCCATTTCTAGCTCTCTCCTCTCCTCCTCTATCTTCCTCCTTTGCTCTATCATCTGGAGTCTCTCCTCATCCTACAAAACCAAAAAAGCAACAAATAAGTATACCCATACACCCTTACCCGCTAATTGGAAGGACTATTAATTACTTACACAACATTTACAATCTCAAACACTTCCTTACCCACACACCCGTCACATGACAAGCATGTGACATAGCTCATCGAAGACAGCTAGCTTGCTAAGCTATAAAGACAAATGTCATAGCAAATGAAAAAGGAGGACGCATATCAGCACACACAAGATTTGCTGCTATTATAATTTGTGTAATATATCTAGGGTGCTGGCTCCATGATGTCTGCTTCTACCAGCTGTAGAGTCAGTCGCCTACCAATTTTTGCTGTGCCTCAAGGATCTTCTTATTGTTTTCCTCCATTATTGATTCAAGCTTTCTCTGTTCTGCCTCTTTCTCTTCCTATTAACAATAATAATAATAATGTTATGTCTCTTAGGCCCCCCCCCCTTACGTTCACTTCTTTCTGTAATAATAATAATAATAATAATAATAATAATAATAATAATAATAATAATAGTGAAATAACGTGCTCATTGTTATTAATATTTATATTTAATTAATACAGCTAACTGTACATATTATCAGGCTCCAGCTAGCATGCATAACATTGTTAACATGAATTGTAGCACTTTAGAGTTATTACAATACCAAGTAGTGCAGAGTACAGTAATGAGATTAAACCAACACCAACAAATTACAGATCATTAGCTACATGTACCATCCTCTTTGCTCTGCTGTACATGTACATGTAGTGACCATTATCCCGGCAATGTCAATCAAGAAGCTATAGCATCAATTATAAAGAGTGAAAGAAGACAATACATACACACACACACACACAAAGCAAGCAAGGCTTTAATGTTTGCATGGCAGTATTCCTTACATTGATTACCATAAACAGAGACTAGAGGACAATAGACCAATTGAGCTAGTATAACAATGTAAGCATTGTACTACCAAACACTGCATAGTACAGTAGAATATTCAGCTCAAACATGTTTACTGAAATTGAGAGCTGCAACAATGAATATAGTGAGTAGCAGTATTTACAAGCATGCTGGATGGGCACATTATAGTCATGACAATACATGAATGACCTCATATGTTAACATCATCATTGTATTCATTGAACCTATTGTCTCCTTTATGTCACATTGACAATATGGTACAATAGTTCACAATAATTATAAATTCAATAAATACCACACTATAGCACACACCCAATACACACATTCCCAATATAGTCTACAGAGTCTGCCTGCCACACACAGACATATAAGAGATTGAAATAAAGGGTCAAGCAATAACCCTAGTGGTTAGGTTGTGAACCACTATAAAGAAGAGTTCAAGACCAATCCTAACACAGGCACTGCCCCCTTGTAACCAAATGCATGTACTGTAGGAAAGAGGAACTAAAAGTGATTATTGAAAAGCAAATAATAATAAGTCATCAATCGTGATATGCGTATACATGATCTCCAATTAAATGACATGTAGGGAAACAGAGGACAAAGTACAATGTATCAGACAACAGGTGCGATGAATCGACCCTTTGATGTGTAGCAACGGAGACTAAACTAGCACTAACTGTTGCTAGAATTATCTACTCATTTGTAGGATGAAATCATTCATAAACAAGACATTATGTAATTATTATTATTACTATTATTATTATTATTATTATTATTATTATTATTATTATTATTATTATATTATTATTATTATCATGCTCATCAGTGCTTCCTATCTGTTAAGTAGCCAATTTGCATCTTTTGTTGGCATGATATTCACCTTTAAGTGACAATCACTTTTAACTGGATTACAAGTCATCAAAATATGGTTGAAATTAATAATACTATAAAGCCCATTGTAATACTACCAGGTGTCTTTTCTTTGTGGGCTTCATTAAAACCTCTCCTCCGCCTTCCCTTGCGCCATCAAAAGATCCCACATAGCAAATAGCCTATACATTGTTATATAACTGCCCACATTTAAGTTAACATGCTAATGAAAAACATCTCAGGTTTCCCAACCCATGCATACATACATGTAACTTTAAGCCACTAGTAATGCTTTTACTATAAATATACCCCCCATCAAAATACAAAATAAAAGATGTCCTAATAATAGTAACAGGTACCCATATAGTTCAATGCAGATTTGCTTACACACATTGCGTGGGTGGCATAAGCTCTTAGTTCCAAAACACTGCTAGAAAGTATTTCCATGTTTGGTTCTGTGTGCATGCGAGTGTGGGGCTAAGAATGTCATGGTGCACATACCAGCAGAGTAAAGATCTGTACTATACTGGTTTCTATACACAGCAATAGGACTATATGATTGGGATCCGTATAGTAAAAAAAACTTGTGTCCCAACAGGAGCTATCTGGCACATTATATTGCAACGATAAATTATTTATATAAATAATCAACCAATTATTTGTTATGATAGCAAAAATAATGAAAACGATATGGTTTTTTTACTGCATAAGTCCACACAATAAAAACGACTGGAGAGGAGAACTATTGTGGATAGTATAATAGTAGCAACAATGAAACTAATAATAATAATGCATGTACATGTATAGTACACAATAGTAAGTTAGTAACAATACAAATGGTAACTAACATTACAACTATGCTTTACGTATAGGACTGCCAATAGGGAGAGGAGAGCGAATGGGCATTTCAGTCCAGCAGTCATATACATGTATGTATGTGTACATGTAAGCCTCTAAAACTACATGTAATGATGCAACTAACAACAAGAAATCGGTTCATTTTCAAGTTAGAACCAATTCTGGCACAGACCATGAGCTATATAATGATATCCTTATGCTACATGTACATGGAAATTTTGAGTTGATTCGTTTTAAGAAACAGGCCAATTTTCAAAAATACACTGTACTATAGCCCAGGGTTTTTTCAAAAAATGGCTCCAAAATCACCCTTAATTTTTATTACAATTTCTGATACATATTGATGTCCTTATGCTGTGTAGAAAGTTTGAGTCAAGTCCAACTACATTTTTTTGAGTTACGTGTATGACCATTTTAAGAAACTGGCTAATTTTAGAAAAAATGTAGTTAAAATACCCTGTTAATAATACTCATGCTTTTTTCAAATGATGGCTCTGAAATCAACCTCTATTTCTAAAGCATACTGATTCCCTTATGCAGTTTAGCTACATGTAATACTGAGCACAAATTTTTAAGTCACAAGCCAAAAATGATGCCAGCCAAGAATATAATGGCCTTAAGCCAATGAGGTTCAAGTGAAAAAGTTGAGATTAGAGAAATTGAGAACAAATTCATACTTTCTAACTTTCTGCATGAAATAAAGGCATCAAAATAATAACTAACAAAATACAAAATTAAGGTATATAGTCCCAGGGGTATCAGACTACAAGGATCAACAAAACAATACACACATGTACATGTACATACATACATACATGTACATGTACACAGATACAGGAAGTGTAGTGAATGGTGCTGATCAGTTTAAAGCAACTACTAATGACACTTGAATGAGGCACTGATAGTCATTTCATTACACTAGCCTATTAAATACATTAATTCATTGGATAATGGTGCTAACAGAAAACAAAATGGTTTCAAATGGTGATGGATACATTAACTAATTGTGCTAATACAAAAAAGGGACATCTCCCTGGCTGCATTGACAATAGCTTAATGGCTACTAATAGCTGCTAAATATACAGGTAGGTATAGCAAAAAACAAGTCCACATGAAATGGGTTCATGAAGGCTTAATGGCATTAGTGATTGGTGCTAATATGAGTTCAGCATTTAAAAAACAATTCTCTAAATAGGCATTGATGAGCAGAGCCTATTGAGAGAGGCAACTTGTTAAAATGTTTGTACGAATTTAAAATAAATGATATACTAATGATGAATGAATCCGACTACTAGGCAGTAGTGCCTGGACATGCAGTGTGTGTATACTATAGGCGAGTAATGATTTTAAAAATAATGGTGAATGGATGATGTAAGGGCTTTATCTCCAGACCACACAAATAGTGCATCAAATCACTAGTGACAGGCCAGGATGCTACTGCTACATTAAATTTAAATTATCACTAAAATTGATTTTCTGACTCCGACTTGAATAGACCAACCAGCCCTCTCTACCCACCCAAACACATAATAACAAAGTAAACAATTGACCAGCTAACAATTAATGTATATAATTACAAATACACACACACACACACACACAAGCCAATATAGAGGGACTACACACACTCATATGTGCCATGTACTAGTAAGTACTAAAATTCTTCATAATCCACCACACACAAGGAGAGTGAGGAATTTGGCTGTGGAGTCCATGTACATGTATGTACAGTGTATTAAGTAACAGACCACAAGGAGGTACCCCATGTACAATGTAGGCAAGCACTAAATAATATACAGACACATGTGCAGCATTTGATGTGGTTGCTAACATAAGGCATCTATCGTCATTCACTTTCAGATTTATTAATAAAATTAAAAATGCATTATTAGGCTATAGCTAACGCCAACAGGCACACTGAGGATATGGTATTTCAATTACTCCAGACAGTTCGACTACAATGACAACACACAAATAATAAAATAAAAGGACATGCACACACACACACATGTACATGGCATAATATATATTCAGTTTCTGCTAATAATCATTTCCACTTTATCTAATAATTATATTTACATTGCCCAGCCCTTTGAGCTATCAAAGGTTGCTAACACTCCTTTAGAGGTTTCCCTCCTCGTTAATAAGTTTCTTAGATCTAACATCCAGCTAGAACTGGAGAAGAAGGATTTGTACAAATGGAATGAGTTCCATCAACTCAGTTTATCAATGAATATGTATACACACAATAGGTAGCTATAGGATATTAAAAGATCAGAGGAGTTATCTTTAGCAAACAAAAGCAATCAAAAAATGTCTTTCCTTGAACAAAATTTGGGAAAAATATCAAAGATCTATAATACAGTACATGCATGCATACTACAGAAAGCCATGGACATATCCATGCATGCATAAGCTTTCCTGGCTCTCCCTACAATGAATGTACTGTAGTCTCAATGAATAGAACTATACAATAGAGAGAGATGTGAAACTAAGACTAAATTTGCAGGGACCAACAAAAAGCATTTATTGTAAAGTAAGAGAATTGTCTATACTTTCAAACAATAATTAATACCAAATGAATAACAGTGATCAAAACAATTCTATAACAATTAGAGAAACATTATAACAAACTCTTAGAAACCAAAGCTAGCAAGAAATCACATTTACTATGATTATCATGAAGCTACCAAATGAATAACACTGACAAAACAATTTCAAAGAAATACATGTACATGTACATACACATGTACTTTGTACGATATCATATTATGCGCATATCTAGTTGAAAGTCATATTCCAAAGCCACAGATTAAAATATCGTCAATCATCATAATCGAGTCAAAGGATTTGCTTAGACTGTATCGACAGACAGACACAGACAGTGAAACAATTACAAATAAATTGGCTAGCCAGTCTCCTCCAATCCTAAAATAAACCCCTAGCCCACTACAAAGGGAGAGAAGAAATTACCCAGTTATTCTAATTAAAAGGAAACAGGAATCGTCAACAACAAAGTACATGTACTTGGAGCAAATGTCATCAAACGCAACAAAAAACTTCAAACTTAAAAGATTTCCTCCAAGACAATAACAGACCACAATAAAACTATGTACACATACATGTACGAGGATACATGTACTACATTTACTATTTACAGGTGCATCGCTTCTTTTGAACTGGAGACACTACTAACTTTCACAATTAACATGAAAGTTGACACACACGACTCCAATAGAAGGAACAGATAATAGTATAATACTAATGATAGTACTAACAATAATAGTATTAATACACATATACATAATATACAGTACATGTACATTGCAACAATGTACCACGTATTACAAAAAAAGACAGGGATACACTGTGCATGTGAAGGGGAAAAGTCCATTCGTTTTAGCTTCTAGGAGCTAATAATCTTTGAAAGCAGAAAACATTAATAATAATTGAATAACATCAAAGAATAGAAACTTGATACATAAAATAAATTTATAGAGACAAGTCACGATATAAATGAATATAGAGATCAAAAAGTGTTTGTATTTATGCTTTATGCTCAGGAATGCTACACAAAAATGAATACGTTAATTAGCTTTTAAATGATTTAGACTGTGACCCATCAGAGAGACTACGGAATGAATGGAATCTACTACACTGATCCAATTAAGTGGATCATAGAAAATGTAAATCAAGGACTCGCCTGACCTTTTTCCTTTCTTCTTCCGCCTCTTGGATCGCTCTCTTTCTCTCAAGCTCTTCCAGCATCTGCTTCTCCATGTTCTGCTTTACTTCTTCGACACGTCGGAGTACCTCAGCCTCAATCTCGTCCTTCCTCTTTCTTAGCTCTTCCTCGACTCTCATGGCCACGAGCTCTTCAACTCTTTTTGTCGTCTCTTCCTCAATTAGTTTTGACTCTAGCTCCTCCTGTCGCCTAATGAGAGATGATTACAGAGTAATGAAGTGACAAGCACAGCCTTGCATGAATATCATCAATATGTACGTGATACAAACTTACAATACGTAACTTATAATTAATACAACCATTACAGGCACTAGAATCACAGATACATGTACATGTACACTTGTACAGTATCATTCACTCTATTACTGACACTTTGACCTGTTATTTCAATTAGGGGTACAGTGTACAATTGTACATGTATGTATTAAGTGGGCTATCAGTTTTATGCATCACACCATTAGCAGACAATCTTGCCGATTACTAAAACAACATAAATCTCACTTAAGGGTAGGGTATGATAAAACAAACTACATGTAGAAATTTTATACAAAAACAACACAAAATAAAAGATATTAAATGCAACAGAGTAGGAGTGAAATTCAATGTTTACCCTAGTGTCTGTCCTGCAGCCATAAATCAACTAAATGCATGTCCTGTGTACTTTAAACACAAAACCACCGAATTAGTCAATTACGGTATAGTTCCCAAACGTAAAATTTAGATTGTGAAAGATCAAAAGCCACAAATATTTAATTTTGGTGAATCAACTCACCTAAAGTAACCCCCCACTCGTACACATTTGATGTCAGACGGAGGATAGCATTAAATAAAAGCCTGGGCTGTTAGTGATTAAATTAATTATAAACCACAAGATTAATATCTCATTGACCACAAACTTTAACCTCTAGAGATCAAAAATGCATTTCAAGCAAACAGATGAGGTACAGAGTAGAGAGAGTAGTGAAGCCATATAAAAATGATGACGATGACAGTAATAATAATAATAATAATAATAATAGTAATAATAATAATAATAATAATAATAATAATAATAATAAGATAAAAAATAATAAAATAAATTTTAAGCTAGAGCCTACTGCATGTACAATGTACTATCAAGAAAATGTAACAGACATTCCAAGTGTTGTGCAGAAGTAGGAGGCAGCATGCATGCAAGCTGGCCCATTACTATCTAGTCTTGCGGGCCAGACTCAATTTTTAGAATAGAGTCTGGTTTCATGCCTAACATCAACTCGTGCTTGTCTCGCAGAATTTGGTCGACCTGATCAGATCACTGTTACCATGGTTACATTAGAATTCGCCCACGCACAGCAAGTCTATTATCAAGAATAGAATGGATTATTATCAAGTCTATTATCAAGAATGAAAGTATACTTTCTTTCTATGACTACAACTGCCAACTGGATTGCCTTTATCTGCTCTGATGGTTAGACAATTAGGCAAGTAAAGAAATGCTTCGAGAAATAATGTGCTTGGATCCGAGATGAATTCAGCCGCCACGATTGCTCCACCTTCAGTACTACTGAAAAAAGCCAAAAATGAGAAGTACTTGACTGCTTTATTTTTCTTGACATCAGGAAGCAAGTATGAAGTATAAAATAAGTATACAAGCAAGTATAAAATCATTATAAAAAATAATAAATCCACAATATTGTGGTGCGTGGGCGTGTTTATAGAGATTAACATTATTTGCCCACGCAAATCGAAACATTGAAAACATGAGTTGATACTAGGCATGGCACCAGACTCTTATTTGGTAAATTAGAGTCTGGCTAGCGAGACTAATTACTATCTATGTGTACTAGAGGTGTGGCATTACATAATCAACTGTAATAATGGTAGCAAGGGGCCATGTGAGAAACAAGCTTCAAATTTTATATATTTTTCTTCTACGAATCAAGAGTTGAGAATTAAGCAATATAATGGGGTTTTGGAGCAGCTTTCTAAAAATCCAAATTTGATCGAAACCTGCTCAAAGTTTTTAGTTCTACACATTATAAGAAGATGTACATGAATCAGAAAAAAGTTATAACAAATGGAAAATTCTTCTGGAGCAAAATGTGGCCAAGGATTAAAGGCTAAATTTTTGAGCAATGTTAAAAATTTTTGTAAAAAAAACCAATTGTGATTGGAATCAGCTCAAACTTTCTACAAAAAATAAGAACATGTACATCTACATGTACATGTATAAAAAATTATAAAAATGAAAAATTCTCTTCTAGTAATTCTTGGCAAAATTTGGCCAAAGATCCTGTACAGGGACTTTGGCCCAATCTTTGAATAACTTTTAAAGTTTATAAAAATCTAATTTAATAATTTTAATTGAAATCAGCTTGAACTTGCTACAAAACATAAGAGCATGTCAGAAAAAATTATTAAAATGGAGAATTCCCTCCTAACCATTTTTGGCAAAATTTGACCAAAGTCCCTGTATTACAAAAACCAGGCCAAAATCCCTGTACTATAGTACAGGGATTTTGGCCCAATTTTCAAGTAACTTTAAAAATTCATAAAAAATCCAATTTTGATCTAAATTAGATCAAACTTGCTACACAACATAAAAACATGTACACGTGTCAGGAAAAAAATTAAAATGGAGAATTCTCTCTTAGTCATTTTGGACATAATTTGGTCAAAGTTTCTGTACTATAGTACAGGGACTTTGACCCAATTTTTGGGTAACTTTAAAAATTTGTAAAAAATCCAATTTTGATTGAAATCAGCTCAAACTTGCTACACAACATAAGAACATGTATATGTATCAGAAAAAATTATTATAATGGAGAATTCTCTCCCAGTCATTTTTGGCGTAATTTGGTCAAAGTTTCTGTACCGTATAGCGGGTATATTCCGTTCGAGTTTAATTTCGTTCTTTTCGTTCTCATTCCTTGTGGAACGAACATTTTCCAAACGAAAAGGGCGTTTCCTCAATCCCACGAGTGTAAAATGGCTGCTCAGAACGAAAATAAAATGAACGAAAATTTCTAGAACAAACATTTTCCCAGACGAAATATACCCGCTATACGGTACTATAGTACAGGGATTTTGACCTGATTTTTGAGTAACTTTAAAAATTCATAAAAAATACAATTTTCAATGGAGTCAGCTCAAACTTGCTACACAACATAAGAACATGTATATGCATCAGAAAAAATTATTATAATGGAGAATTTTCTTCTAGTCATTTTTGACGAAATTTAGCCAAAGACCCTGTACTATAGTACAGGGATTTTGACCTGAATTTTTAGTAACTTTAAAAATTCATAAAAAATACAATTTTCATTGGAATCAGCTCAAACTTGCTACACAACATAAAAAGTTAAAAACATGTATACGCATCAAAAAAAATTCTAAAAATGAAAAATTCTAATTTCAGACAAAATATCCTTTACTAGTTTAATATTATACACTTCAATATAGTGCAGGGCATTTTGTCAAATTTTGGAGCAATCTAAAACCAGTCAACACTATAGACTAAACATTACATGCAAAGGAATTCATTCATCAAAAACACCATCAATATTTACATCATCTAGTGTGCATTACTTTCTTCTTTGCCTTTCCTCGTCGATACGTTTCTCTTCCTCAACTTTTCTTCTCTTCTCTTGATCTTCGGCTCTCTCCCTCTCCCTTTCTATACGCTTGCTAATATTACGTCCAAATCTAACAAGAAATAAATTAAAAAATATACCGTACAGTAGTAAATTTTGAGGGCATAAAATTTCGTGATTTAGTCAAAAGCTCTTCATTTTTCAATTTCAAGGGAGTTGAATTTCAAGTTTTTGTATGTGCACTTTGCATTAAATCAGATGCTGGACATGCACAGTGAGAATTTCCATGGTATTAATTTTTGTAGTTAAAAAAATTCACCCACAAAGTCTACAAAATTAAATACCCTGCGGAATTTTATACCCATTTTGAGTTTAGTTTTTAAAAGCTATATTTTATTCTTAAGTTTATTATTTAGCTACACCTCTTCCAGGGATGTCGGCCCTTCATGTGATCCGATCATTCAGTTGATCCATTACCTGTCTCTACTCCTGCTCCTGCTTCTGGACCTGCTCCTCCCCCTGTCCCTCCTACTGCTCTTTTTATTGGGAGACCTGTCTCTGGATCTTCTTCTTGGGCTCTTGCTCTTCTTCTTCTTTTTGGATTTCTTCACAGGAGGAGAAGGAGGACTCCTTGATCTAGAGCTTCTAGGAGACCTGGGCATTTCACGTGTGATGAATGAGTAACTACAAAGTGGGCAGGGTCATAATTATTTTAGCTCCTCCTTTCCAGAAAAAAAATTTTTAGCGCCCGGCCGCCTGTTTCACTTCCAAAACTGCTGGATTAGTGGTTATTTTGGGGGTGAGCATGAGCGAGTATGCTCTTCTGTCTAGGTCTATTTTTTGTACTTCTTGATCACAAGCGGAGGGTAAAGATTTTAAAATCAGTATGCTGTTGATAAACATACTCCAAGGCCAAATACTCTTCTTCTTGAGCTTTTAAAGCTTTGCTAAGAAAGAGTCTCGGAAAGAGTACATGTAAGACTGAAACAGTAACTTAGCAACAGTAATCTAGCAACTGTGACTTAGCAACAGTTGCTAGGCAACAGTAACCTAGCAACTCTAACTTAGACTGAAACAGTAACTTAGCAACTGTAACTTAGCAACAGTTGCTAGGCAACAGTAACCTAGCAACTCTAACTTAGACTGAAACAGTAACTTAGCAACAGTAACCTAGCAACTGTGACTTAGCAACAGTTGCTAGGCAACAGTAACCTAGCAACTCTAACTTAGCAACAGCTACTAGGCAACAGTAACCTAGCAACTGTAACCTAGCAACAGTTGCTAGGCAACAGTAACCTAGCAACTCTAACTTAGCAACAGCTACTAGGCAACAGTAACCTAGTAACTGTAACCTAGCAACAGTTGCTAGGCAACAGTAACATAGCAACTCTAACTTAGCAACAGCTACTAGGCAACAGTAACCTAGCAACTCTAACTTAGTAACAGTTGCTAGAAACAGTTACTAGGCAACAGTAACTTAACAACAGTTACAAGGAAAATAATAATATTTGCTGGGAAATTATTTTTAGTAGCAAAATATTTTTAATTATTAAATTTATTAAATTTAATTCTATTATTTTAATTATAATAATTACTTAAACATTAAAATTATTATTATTTACTATTATTATTAATTAATAATAATTATTAATTATTATTTATTATTGTTATTCCTCTCTCCTTTTTGTTTTGTCATTGTTAGTGTTTTGTCATTATTTAATTTAATTTATTATTTTAATTTAAGTTAGGAAAATTAATTTTTCTCAATTAATTTTATTTAAGAATTTTAAGGATTTAAGGTTTAAGAATTCAAAAATTTAAAAATTTTAAGAATTTTAAGGAAAATTAATAATAATAAAAATTATTTCCCGGCAAATTTCCCTAGTAACTGTTGCTAAGTTACAGTTGCTAGGTTGAGTTTCCTAGCAACTGTTGCTAAGTTACAGTTGCTATAGCAACTGTTGCTAAGTTACAGTTGCTAGGTTATTATTGCTAAGTTACAGTTGTCACAATATGGTTGCCGCACGCGGCGCCCATAATTTTTTCATTTTTGGAAAGGCTAGGCGTGGCTAAAAACTAGTCCCTCCTTTTTTGTGAATGGATGCCATAGAAAAATAGGAAAATTGTCTAAAATGAGCCTAAAAACTTCTTTTACAAGGAGAAATAAATACATAAAGCTTCATCATCCAGTTCTTTTCGAGGTTCTTTTTAGAATATTCATACTTGATCTGGAAGAAAGCGGTAAAATTTGTAATTATTCCAATTAATGCTCTTCTCACCGCGTAGTGAATGGAGGAAGTAACCACGGTATTGTAGGAATTCTTCACTCCATCTTCCTCTAGTAGTGAATGACCGACTTCTTTTCAATGTAATGGCAGCTGTCGACTCACCTCATCTGCTAGACTACATATTCATAGTCGGTCCCACCACTGAAGAAGGCAGGGGACCCACTGCCGGCTCTCCTATCAGTCCCAGCTCAACCAAACTCCCTCCTGCTGACTGGCATAATGTCAGACAGGCTAAACCAGGCATAATATGGCGTCACCCACTGAATGATATACCCCAGAGACCACTGCCTAGCAATATTACATATTTCTGTCAGCCAGAGGAAGATGGCTGCCCTCCTGACTCAGTCTCTCCTATCTCTACAGCCTCTTCATCTCATCTGTCTTCATTAGACTCCAATGCGAGCACAACTACTCATTACTTTATGCTCACTAACACGGAGACTAACATACGCACGTACGGGGTCTGTGTCACCTTTCCATACCTTACCGATAACCTCCTGAGGGCTCAGTCTCCTAACTGGGTATCAAGATCCGAGTCTGAGTCCTTAGTTGGGATACAGGAATGGGGTCTCCTGAGTGTCTGCATCCTATCCTTGCAGGACAATTATCAGTTCTTTGAGAAGGTCCTGCACACTTTCATTCATTTTGTTGATCTCTATTGCGGCGATAAGCTCAGTTGGGAGCTTCTCATTCGCTCGCATTTCCATCCTTCATCCTCTGACATGACGGCCCCCATAAAGGAGGTTACCGACTGGGTGGAGTCTCTCGTTGTTCTTCCTGTTCCGAGACGCGGTATTGAATTGATGGAGGTAGAGCTTGAGGTTGATCCCGCTGTCCTTGTTGGGTACCCTCCATCTTCTCGCCTTCCGTTTGTTGATCTTCCCATTCATTATGTATTGCAAAGACTAGACATTCATTTAGTCATTGAAATATACAAGCTGCTTCTATTGGAGCACAAGGTAATTTCATTGTACTTGTCCATGTACAATTGTACATCCATTCACAATGATTCACCTAGTCTACTGTACATTGCTTTTTGCTTTGATATGTTTTTATGGGAATTTTTAACAATATTGCTTCTGATTTTACTGCTTTATCATTAGTGGGTTTCATTATGTGCACACAATATACCAAATGAGGATGATACATGTGTACACTCACATTGCCATCAATTCCTTTGTATTGTGCACCACCCAATTGCTTAAGAACAGCATTGTTCTAACAATGAACTAACTGTAGCTGTTATGAGTAGCTTATATTTGGCAAGATGCGTAAAATGAATGTTTGTGTGTGTACTACTGTACGTATTACGGGATATTTACTTATCTTGTATCTTGTTTTAAGCAAACAGTGTACGGTTAGTTTTCATCATTGCTTTTTGGAGTTGTGTTTACAATATCAAGAATAGCACTCTTAGTGATGAGTGTTATACTGATGATTGCCCCCTGAGCTTTCAAAATCAACAAGTTCCAACTATAAGCTACAGAAGGAAATCAATAATAGCATTATAATAAATTTTCATTGTTTATGTTATACTGTACATGTAGATTTTCATGCACTAGCTGCACATACATGTACATGGTAATATTCATGTGATTCTGTTTTCCTGGTATATTTGTATGTGTTTTGTTATTATGGTAGGTGATTATTCATTCTCAAGACTATGCCTTTGCTTCTCGTTGTGTTATAACAATCCTGAGTCTTCTTTATCCGCTCCAGTATCTGTTCCCTGTCATACCCCTCCTGCCCACTTCACTACCAAGCGCAGAGAATGTAAGTCAAAACAATAACATGACAGTGCCTACTGTGACTTCTTTATCATCTTTATTCCTTTCTCCTCTCTCTCTCTCTCTCTCTCTCTCTCTCTCCCTCTCCCTCTCTACCATGATCCTTTTATTTTAATTTTCTCCTCCTTCAGCTCTTGCTTGTCCCCACTCCTTTCTTCATTGGAGTTCCTTCTTCTTTTGTAAAGAAAATCAACATGACTCACAGGATGGAGACCTGGATTGTTGATCTTGACAACAGAAAGGTAAATTATCTTTATACTACTTTTATAACCAATGCTTTATCACCTCCTCATTCACTCTCTCTCTCTCGTTCTCTCTTAGTTGGAGTCTCCCATTCATCAGGACATTGACCTCCTGGAGAAGTTTCCAGTTACTTTATTGCAGCTCCAGGCTGACCTAAGACAGGCACTGGACAAAATGGAAGAAGTATGTACATGTACAATGTACCCACATACTTTTAGTAGACATAGGCCTGCTGCTGCTTTGACAGAAACAACTAGGAAATAACAATTTTGATTAAAGACATGCACGTATGCATAGGATGTACATGTAATTAAGTATAGAAGGAAGCAATAATACGATAATAGCTAGGTCCTGTAACATTATCTTAAACTAGATTAGCCGCCTCTTTAGTTAACAATCCTATTATTTTGACTGGAATTACTCGTGCATTACCAGCCAATTGAATGAGCCTATACTTACATTGTACATGTACATGTACATACATGTATATAAGATAGAATATTTTGAAAGGCGAAAAGTTTAACACTAAAATGCACTAGAAATATTTTATTGGGCAAAGCCCTTACTTATGAGAATTTATGTATGTATGTGTACGCTTGGGGGTGTGACTGGGAGGTGTGGTCAGGAGCCAGGGCCCCTCAATGTTTTACATTCTTTCTAGCTATTATTATATCTTATTTAGGTTGAGAAATCCTCTCACAGCATTGCTGACCTTACCAGACTAAAAGATGAGACTGACGTCTTAATAAGAGTCGCTTTCATTGAGTTCCTGTTGGGTCCTGAAATGCTTGGCTGCATAGACAACCACTTGACTATATACAGACTGTTCCCTCGCCCTGTGGTTGACCTAAGGCTGGAATCATTCCTTGCTGCCTATGTTAAGAAGACTAAGATCCGTGACATTGAATTTATTTCAAATTTCATTAAATCACAGGTACTTTTAACTATGAAATACTGGTTATTATTATTATTATTATTATTATTAATTACTTTTATTGTTATTTAGAGTGTTGAGTATTTTATGGAATGGGTCCTAAATCCATCAAACAAAGCATTTGAAGAGATTAGGAAAGGTAGGCTTATGTACATGTACATGTGTAATTGCTTGAAATGGAGCAGACAATTACGTGTACATTATTGTTGCTCTACACTACAAATGAATGAATACTTGGCAATATCTTCCATTACAAGATCATGTTTCCTTCACTCTACAAATTATCAAAAGAATGGGCCAACATGTTTTGTGTACATATCCTCCTTTGTCAGTGTTCCTTGCATGCTTGATGAACCTGTTGACATGATGCACACACACACACGCACACACACGCACATGCACACACACACACACACACACACACACACACACTGTATGTCATTGAGTGGAAGATTTGGCATGTACATATATTGTGTTTTGTGCTGAGTTATTGTTTGGCATTCTTTCCTGGAGCATATATATGTTTCTCTATGGACTGTATATACAGATGTGCATAAATAATCATATCATGTTTTGTATTTGCAGGATTCTGTGAAATTGAGCGAATCGGTGACAAACTTTGCTGGTGGGTTGACAAGGTATCTCCTGCTCGGCTACAGTACACACTCTATCAGCCTGACTGCGATGAGTCTGTCCTTTATCAAGAGATGCTCCATCACAAAGCCTGGCAGATACCAACTAATAATACAATGTCTAGGAATTATTTCTCCAGCGATGATGAGAGCGATGAGAGCGATGATGAAGAAGGGGCCAATCATTATCGGCATGACGGGACTGATATCTCTTATGATTCTGATGTTAGCTCTGATTCAGCGATTCGTGGCTGTGTTGCCCCTGAAATGAAAGATATAGCGATCGATATCCATCCTTCCATCACAATAACTTGTTCTACTCCTTCTCCTGTTGCTGTTGGAGCTGGTTCCTCTAATGAAGTCTACCTGTCGTTAGTTAAAACACCGTCAAAGTTTGATCACGTCCCATTACCTCCTGAGAATAAGCAGCCAGTATTGAGTGATCCCGTGTTAAGGTCTGATCCTCTTATCATGCCTGATTCAGTTATAAGCTTTGATCCTGGGATGTTGCCTGATTTTGATTTAATGCATGAACCTCTGACACCTGATCACATTTCTGCCCTAACACTTGATTCTGATCCTTTGTCAAAAGTTAATCGTGATTCAGCTAACACTGGTGTAGAGATGAATGGAGTTTTTGAGCCTCCTACTGATAGTGCTACTGATAATGTCTCACTATTGACATCACCAATAAATGTGGCTGATTCACACAACAGCACTGACTCCAGTTATAATTTATCAATGACTCTCTCACCTCTCCCTATTCATCGTCATTTCTCTGGCCATAAGACCAAGAGAAGACACAGCAGTCCAAGTAGCCCTGAGCCGGAGACAGGGGGCCTCCCCAGAGTCGGGTCTTGGATGAATCTGAGAGGTCCACTCATTGAAATGATGCAGTTTTCAAGTGGCGGCTCTGCTGGTACTGAGCAAGAGTCTCCTACAGTGAAAGACCCTAAGAAGCACTCGTCATCTAATGTGGTCCGCTCTGTCCCATGGTCTGCTGTTTCTAGCCTTCAGTGAGTCTTATGAGTTTATTAATGGGCTGTTGGATCCATCTGTTACTTGTCTTGTAATAGATCATTTGTATATTGTATTAAATTAATGTGTAATTGCTGCTTTATTTTGTTTATTGTTTATTAGTGAGCTTGAGACTCAAATTAAAGACATTGTGTGTCGAGTGGGAGCTGGTCAGGGTCTCCCTTGGCCCAAATCTGTTGCTCTAAAGACGATAGCATCGGAGGAGAGGAGCCGCGTTGCTTTACTCCGTCTCCTGGAGCTCAGATTGGGTATTCGTCAGCAAAATAATCTACTGTTATCAGCTAATGGTGAAATAGTACCAATAGTAAGCTACATGTATGTGTACGTGTACATGTACAAATAATTATAATACTATAGTACAGGGACTTTTTAGCTCAATTTTTGAGTAACTTTAAAAGTCTAATTTTGATTGGAATCAGCTCAAACTTGCTGCATGACATAAAAACATGCCTATGCATCAGAAAAAAAAATTATAAAATGGAGAATTTTCCCCTTGTGATTTTTGTCAAAGTTCCCTATACTATTATACAGTCATAGATATTAGAGTAATTGGACAATTGATTCAATTTTTGAGCAACTATCAAGAAGCTGCATGAGCACTATGCTGAAGTCCTATGGAAACCTTTGACATGCATGTACTATTTTATTAGCTTGTAAGCAGTGACTATAACAGTGAACTGGCCCATTTCCTATTATCTTCCTTGTGCTATCACTGTTGCATTGAATCACTATTGATGCATAAAAAATATTTTTATTATTATATGTTTGAACTGTACACATTGAATGTTTATTCTCTGCTGTTATATCCTTTTTCAGATTGTCAGTAGAGCAGTCTATAAAGGTGTTCTGGATCTATTAAAGTACATCATTCAACCAATAGAGGCATCTCTCCAGGCTGACATTGACACGCCCATATTCTCATTGTTCCTTGTACTGAGATTAGCACTGTGCCTATGCACTGACCTCAGCCGAAAAAGGTCACCTTTAAAATCAACCGAAAACGAGTTAAACGGACACAGGACCCCCTCACCACTTCCCCCACCCAGTCCTAATCTAAGGACTCGTCGGTCTCTCCCCACCTCCTCCTCATCTTCCCTTCCTCTTAAAGACCTGAGCTATCCAGGAGCTGTCGATGATAATAGCAATGGATTCAAAGTAGCAGAATCAAATTTATCAGTATCCGATGATCGTAAGAGAGTGAGGGCGTACGACCCGGTATTGCTTGGAGGAGACTCAGAGAGAGAGACTGAACACGTGGAGGATCATGAGTTGCAGTATTTACATGTTGATCTGCTTAGAGCATTCAGTAGTGCAATGAAAGGGATTGTCGTGAGGAGACAGTTCTGGAATAGTTTGTTTTCGGCGGTTGTACAAGCTGATAGGAAGTATTTAGGTTGGAATGAGAAGACAAGCGAATTATACGACAGGTTAGGAATAGCTACGACTTGTATCTTAATACACATCAATGCATAGAAAGTTTGAGCCAAATTTGAAATTTTGACTAGAGTGAGAGAGAAGAAAGGGGAGCAGTTTTTGAAAAGGGGTGGGGCAGGCTCAAATTAGTATAAAGACAGTTTTATATGATCAAGAGTAATAAACAGAAGTAATGAAGTATACTAAATGTGGCTTCTTAATAATCTACACACTTGCAGGAGCTGAGATGGACCCATTGGATATTCTCTTTAGGCGTTATGTATTCTTTTAATTATAAATAGGTATAATTCTCTCCCTTGCTCAAGTCGACTGAATTTTGGATATGAAGAGGACACACTGCTCAGTATTGTATTACATAACGTACTAGTATTCCTACTGATGATTGGTATCAGTCCTAAGGAGACTATGGACGTGTGTCATCGAATATCAGCTCGAACTCGACTGGCAACTGCCGAGGAGAAGCTCCTTCAAGAGACAATGTCCGAACTTGAGAATGCTGTGAGTTTAAAATCATAATTATTTGTATCAACCGTCTAATGCATTGTTAGGATTCTAATGGTGTTAATATAAAGAACCTTGCTGTATTGGCTTTGTTTAGTGAGAGACATCCTATCATCACTTACGTAGTGCATCATGGCATCAGCGTCACTGCCCCAATCTTCAAACTACAGGTACAGACCCTAAATAATTATCCAGTCTCAGGGTCTAGAAAAAATTAGAGGTGGTTGGAGACTAATATTATTCCTTTTAATTTACATGTATGTACACCATACTAGTAGACCACAATATCATGCTTTATGTATGGCTATTAGTATTAATTTCATGGTTGCATGGTTGCATGGTCTAAGTGATGAACTGGTTGGTTCATTTGTTGAGGTGGTTGTCCCGACCACCATAGGCAGAACTACATGTATGCTCTCTTGGTATAGGAGATTGCACTATTTTAATAGTCGACTTATTATAGCTAAAACTGACTCTAAAAATAGCAAATCACACAATATATTGAATTATGTATGTATAGGTAACTGATGAAGTCTGCATATTAAGGAGGTTTCCTGACGAAAGGATAACTTGTAGATTTTGGAATGATCACATTTTGAATATTGATATTGATGAGTCTCGTCTTACTATTAGTTTCCTGTATAAGGAAGGGTCCAGTGAGTATTGGCAACACTTTCATTCAAAACAAGTAAGTGATACCATATACTGGGAAATTTTTGAGTAGCAAAATTTTCGCAGATTTTTCATTTTTTGCTCCATAGCGAAAATAAAAATTGTGAAATTTTGCATTTTCATTGCCACGTGGTAGCATATTTGCAAAAGTTTTATTTTGTGAAATCTTACAAATGCAAGATTCATGAAAATTTAGCAATACGAAAATATCCCAGTACACGTTATAAAATTATAGTAACTAATGAGAGCTTTCTATCATGTTTCATCACTATATGAAACATGATAGAATGTTTATCTTTATTTATTTTAATTATTTTAAATAATTATTTAGACCATTAGGTCGTATTTCAAAAAAAAAAATTAAGTTCTGATCCTTGAGTGTGTGTTCTTTCTTATGTAGTATCATGAGATATACCAGTGCCTGCAAGTAATGGTCTACAAGTCAAAAACTAATTAAATCTTCAATTATTTTCTCATTATGTTTCATTCATACTTTTGTAATCATATTATTATTATTCAGCAATTTATTTTTTGTCATCATTGTGCTTGCACATATACATGTAGGTACATTTTTTAATTCCAGAAAATTAGCAAAATTTAAACTCATTTTTCTTGAGTTTTTAAATACAAAAAATGCTATCTTCTGTAATCTTACATCTATGTAGCCAAACTATTCTTTTTTTGACAATTTTGGATCTTCCATGTATTTAAAAAATAGATCTATTTGAGGAATATTTTCTTGTTTTGGGTTATTACTTTAGGACTTATAATGTTTATTCATCACTTTGAGGTAAAATTTACAAATATTTCGCTTGCTCATTTTGTCAAGTAAAAGTAATAATAATAATAATAATCATGAAGGTGTCCAAGTAATTAACATTTAATAAGTAATAAATAAACAAGTAATAATTGCTTTAATTATTACCACAATGCATTAAATTAAAAATGAACGACAAACCAACAAAACTTATAATAACGACACAATAATAATAATAATAATAATAATAATAATAATACTGCTTGCTTGTTTGCTTGCCTAACAATAACAAAATGAAAATTGAGAGGTAATGGTAAAAATGGAAGCTAGTTTATAGCCTATTATTAATATCTTGTGCAATAAGTAATTATATCACATGAAGGGATTCCTAGTGGACTGCTGCTGTGACCCTCCTGTTGACTAGAGAAAAAAAATTAAAAAGTTATCATCAAGTTCTCTGACTTACAGCAAAAGGATTGGCTCCGCCACCACTACCCCAACCAGCTGAAGCATTCCATCCACCACCAGCAGACCCCGTACCAGCAGCACTAGCATTATTCCAACCGCCACCAGACCCCGTACCAGTTCCAGCACTATTCCATCCACCAGCAGGCCCCGTACCAGTTCCAGCATTATTCCAACCGCCACCAGACCCCGTACCAGTTCCAGCACTATTCCAACCGCCAGCAGACCCAGTACCAGTTCCAGCATTATTCCAACCGCCAGCAGACCCCGTACCAGTTCCAGCACTATTCCAACCGCCAGCAGACCCAGTACCGGTTCCAGCATTATTCCATCCGCCAGCAGACCCCGTACCAGTTCCAGCATTAGTGGTGGTAGAGCCCATCAACATGTTGCTCCAGCCAGTGGGTGTGGTTGAGGTTTGTGAAGTTGGAGATTGAACTGAAGAGGCTTGAGGAGCAGGTTTTGATAACCCTCCACACCAACCCGTTCCACTAAATGATGGGGCAGTTGTAGTGGGGGTAGTCTGAGAGCTACTCCAATTGAACTGCTGTTGCTGCTTATTGGCAGAGGCTGGCTGAGACGTAAAGCCTCCAAACTGATGCTGAGGAAGCTGAGGACTCCCTTGAACTGCTGGAGCAAAACCAAACTGATGATGACCAACAGGAGAAGGAGACACGCCTCCTCCCCACTGTGCCTGCTGCTGTGGAGGAACAGCCTGTTGTTGCTGCCATTGACCGCCCCCAGCCATCATCATACCTTGCTGACTTGCAGCAGGCATCCCAAACCCCACACCAAACCCTCCCCCTCCTCCTGGGAACTGCTGCTGGCCCATACCAACCATACCACCTTGCTGAGCGTAACCCATCTGGGCTCCTCCCATTTGTGGACTCATTTGCATTCCCATTTGGGCTCCACCTATTACTGGGGATCCACCCATAAACTGAGGGTTTGCTCCCATTTGAACTCCGCCCATCTGTCCACTGCCCATCATCTGAGCTCCTCCCATCATTTGAGCAGGGCCCATATTACCAAAGTTACCAAAGGCTCCTCCCCCTCCACCCTGCTGTCTCATCGGTCCAGTTACAGGAGGAGTGTGCCCTCCCAGAAGAAACGGATTGGATTCTCTTTTCTCTAAAACAGCTCCTCCTCCTCCTCCTCCTGCTCCACCTCCAAAAGGATTAGCAACCATACCTCCAGCCATGCCTTGCTGCATCATCATCATTTGTCGTTGCTGTTGTAGCTGTTGCTGTTGCATTTGTTGCTGTTGCTGTTGTAACTGTTGCTGTTGCTGCTGCTGTTGTTGTTTCTCTTCCTCTTGTAGTCGTATGTCTTTGAGTGTTTGATCAAGACTAGCTAATGCAGAGTATCTGTCAGCAGCTGATAAATTACCGCCAGCGCCACCACCAGATGACAGAGGAGGGGCAGGCCCTGAGGAGGGAGGCTGGCCAATGCTGCTACCGGAACTACTAGCAACTAGAAAATCTAGGGGGAAAAAACCAACAAAAAATTTAAAATTACATGTATATTAAATAGCAGAAACTTACTGCCAGTAGGAGCTCCACTTGATGTAAATGCGCCAAAATCATTGTCTAAAAAATAAAGACAATGTAACGAGAAGAGTACATACATGTATGCACATGTATTTGGTACTCTTGGTAATAGGATAGTACATACTATGATGTATTATTGCATTAACATTATGTATTATTATCATTATAGGAGTGTGTATTTACTTGCTGCAAGAGGTGGTTGTGGCTGATTAACAGATTGAGAGACAGGGGGCGGGCCTGGAGGAAACACTGACACACCTCCAGTAGGAGGACTAGTTACTACAAAAAACAATAAAACAATTTGTATATGATTACGTGAGTGGCAGTTATGAAAAACAATAAGTGCCTAATATCAAAACAATCATGTACTCTCTGACAAATTTCATTATAAGCTACTTAGCAAGAAACAGATAGCAGAATAAATGTGAATTCATAGTTCATTAGCATAATATAGAGAAAGCCATGTGACTCATTAATACTAATATTCACTAATCGTATTACATCATTACATTATTCACAAGTCAAAATTAAGGTATTCATTAAGACCCTTACCAACTGGATCGGAGATATCAAGTAAGCTAACTTCATTCTGTTTGGTAGCTGGTGGCTGGATTGGGGTAGGAGCTTTCTGTTGCTGCTGTGGCGTTTGGGCCTTAGGAGCCTGCTGAGATGCAGCAGTCACAGGCCGGGAACTACCCTATGAGAGAAGGAGAGATGATATCAATACATACACATAGATACAACTGGCCTTATACATCACATGTAATAAGATAAGTGATGATAAAGACAACTATAGATAACAGAAACTGATAACATTAAATATAGTTTACTTGTTGTGAGGGAGGTGGTATTGATGGAAGACTGGTGGGTGTCACTGTGGATGCAGCTTCAGGACTTCTTGACGCAATGTCTTTCTTCACCTCACTTGGGTCCCTGTACCATTTCTTGCGCTCATATTTGTCTCTAAGATACTCTCTGAAGGCTTGCTCGTCTTTCTTGGTGGGTTCTCTGTCTCTCTTTGGGTCCCATTTACCAAGCCATATCATACGGGCCATCTAGAGGGAAAGGGGTAGACAATACAAAAAGAAAAGAGAGAGGAGAGAGAGAAGGGACGTGAGAGAGAAAGAGGAAGGAGAAGAGAGAGAGAGAAAGTGGAAGAGAAGGAAGGAGGGAGGGGAGGGAAAGATTCATGATCAAAGGGTAAAGGGCAAGGGAAAACCATAATGATGTAATAATGAGAGTAAAGAATGACATCATTTATTGTTTACTTCATTTCCACCATTTCTAAGTTTCTGCACTTCATCGCTCGAGAAAGTGGTCATTGAAACAGATTTGACTCTATGGGGCGGATTAATTCCTCTCCTAAAAATAAAATGGACACAAAAAATTATCATCATTATACGTGTATGTGAATGCATCAGTGTAACAGGTACCAATTTAAATTATATGACAAAGCAATAGATAAGCAAGATAATTGTAAATAAACAAAAGTGCTGGCAGAGAGTCGTTTATACTTTATGACTGGAGGTTGGGTTGTGGTTTAGGTGTACACCATAATACAATTTATGTACATGTACTAGCTTCCTTGATAGCCTTGAATCTTCATTGTACACGACAAACAATTAAAATCATAATAAATAATAATAACAATACATTAAACTACATTAATGAGCACACAATAGATAGTAATTATAGCTGTACATGTATCTCAGCGACTTACAAGAACCCGCTACACTGCGTACAAAGGAAAGCACACGTCGTCATGTCAGCATACGTAGGCCCTCTCTGTTGGCACTCGAAGCACTGCTTGTTGTGCGGGAGGGCGACCAATTCACGGAGCATTTTGAGGCTGGCCTCTTCTTTCTTCTTTTGGGCAGGGGATGCCATTTTCTGGTGCTTGAGAGCTCCGTCTCCGTATAATACCGGGCACTTTCAAATCGACGAGAGTATACAGACAAGATATCCTTAAAATATTCGGAATGACGAGGCGGAGCCATTTTTAAGTATCCGAACAATCAGCGGAAAATAAATGAAGAGGGGCGGGAGAAACTGCCCCATAGTCTCTGCCCATCGAGAAACCGACACACACTCGTCCAAAATATTAGTAGACTCCAAGAGAAGAAATGTCCAAAGGGAAGCAGACAGTAGATGAGGGACAGATCGAACAGTGGATGAAAGGGCTCGGGATTGATATAGGACCTCCAGATTACGACGGGTCTTTTCGTGACGCCCTGCGAGATGGTGTAGCCCTATGCCAGTTGGTGAACGTTATGCGCCCAAACAGTGTAGAGGAGGTAGCCCGGATTGCTTTATGTTATGTCTGTAGTGGGGATTTGAGTGGGTGTAGGATTGAGAGGTCAATTTTTATATATTTTTTAAAATTGTGCCTGTGATCACAACAAGTTTATAGAGCAATTAACATCATAATTACGCTCACATTATGAAATATCACATAATTATATAATAATAATTTTAAAATCATGGTTAGTTTGGATGCCTTTGTCGTTATGCTTTTAGTTTTTAAAAGCTCATAATCGCTAACACAACAATTATGTATGATGTTTGCAAATGCATGTACATATATGTACACGTACCCTTATATGTTAATGATCAAGCAATGTTGCATTAAAGAAAGATTACAGTACATTGCATAATGATTTCTTTATTGATCTTGGATGCATTACTATACCTTGGTTCCTTGCCAATTGTTTGTTATCGTTATGTTTATATTTTAAATATACAATGTCCCTTTGTATGATTATGCCCCAAATTGTAATGAAAATAAAGTTGCTGCATAAAAATACAAAACATTCTACATTTAAGGAGACTATACTTATGCTCTAGTAACCATAACTTACTAATTTTTGATCTATAATGATACCAATAATGCATAATGTGCCGATTGCCAAGGGTGTGGTAGATTATAATAATTAATGGTACAAATCATTTTCTCTTATATAAGGAGTTCCAGTGATAGTGAGATAGTAGGCTGTTGTGTCTATTGATTCATATGCTGTAATATTGCACTCTTTCTGTGTTTATAAGAGCTTCCATTGTCTTTTATCTCAGATCAAGACTGACCGTAACTCTACATCCACTGAAGACAATATACTTCACTTTCTTCAGGCTTGTAATGGACTGGGGGTTGTTAAAGTAAGACTCTCTCACTCTCTCTCTCTCTCTCTCTCTCTCCCTCTCTCTCTTGCTTTTGTTGTTGCTAACGTCTATTATCTCTCTCCTTTCTCTCAAGATATTTAGATTAGGTGATCTGACTGATAGTAAGCGTGACTTCACTCCAGTTCTTTCAACTCTTCAAGAATTATACAGGATTGCTGAAGGTAAAGGCACATACATGTATAGTGTACTCTTGAATGTACTTTTATTATTTGTTATTTCACTGAATAAACTCTACATGCTTTCAGTTACTTATAAAATCAAATCACTGGCTCTTGGATCTGACTCCCAAACCTTTTCTTCATATTTGAACACTTTCATCATTTTTGTGTATTTAAAAGTAATGCAGCTTGCCCTGTGATTACTGGAACATAATTGCCCTACAAATAATGTATTTGAGCTTATTTTTATTTTATTGTTGTACATTGTGTAGGTATTGGCATGGGCCTTAAGCCATTAGGTAAAGTAGAGGGAGCTACTGAGGACTTTGATCATTTACAGTTGTCTGACTCAGAACAGCAGACAGAAGGAGGAAAAGGAGGAGGAGGGGGAGGAGGTAGAGACACTCAAGATTCACCAGAACTGTTAATGAGAGGAAAGTTTGCCTTCACGGGAGAAGGAGATGACGAGGTGGGCTTTATTTAGAGTCATAGATTATTCCTCCTTTATATTGCTATGCAGCTGGTTTTCGATAAAGGCGACATAATAACAGTAACTAAAGTTATAGAGGGAGGCTGGTGGGAAGGATACTGTAACGGGAAGGTTGGATGGTTCCCTGGGAACTATGTTGAAGAAGTGCCTCCTGGTAAGATACTGTGACTAATGTATTCTCTTGATCATTCTCTCTCTCTCTCTCTTTCTTTCTCTCTTTCTCTCTCTCTTTCTCTCTCTCTCTTCTCTCTTTTCCTTCTTCTTATCATTATATAGATGTGTTGTCTTCTCTTACAAGTTCAAGTGGTACTGCTCCTGATAAAAGGAATAGCTTGCAACAGTTCTATGACATGGTATGGCATGTTTACAAATGATTGTTGAACTCCAAATAAGGTCACGGGCTACTATGTAGTGATGCAGCAGATCTTGTTGTTTTAGTTAATGCATCACATCATGTACATCTACAGTCATCAACCAATCAGATGATTATGTGTGGGAATCATTGTCAAGATTATAAATGCGTCTACAAATTGTGTCCCTTTTGTGTCTAAATTGCTACTATAATGCATACATTCCATTTGGCCTGTGATGTAGATACACATGTAACTGCCAAGACATTTTTAGTGCAACATGCTTGTATGCTATATGGTAATTGTTGTATAAACAATCACTCTTATTTTAAATCAGCTGTATGTATCTCTTAGTACATGCATGTATTACCTCTGTTTATTTCTTTGTGTATGCATATTTATAATAATAATAATTGTGCTGTTCGTAAGTCATTTCCTCATTGTGTACAGGTAATGAATGATATTGTAGAGACAGAAAGAGCATATACGAATGATCTTCAGGTCAGTATATTCTCATTGGTGTGTAGTAATTGTTTTTATCTAATTTTATAGACACTTCTCTCTGCCTATCTGACCCCATTGAAGAACTCCAACGTGTACGTTACATGTAGATACAATCTATGCATATCTACCAAATTAATATTTTAATCCTTTTTTCTCCTTTTCTATCACTCATAAATTGTAGTCTGCCTCCAAATGAAGTAGCCACTCTTACTGGTAACCTCCCAGAAGTCAACAAGTGGCAGCAGAACTATTGCCGGACCATTCAAGATTGCTCACGTTTGGCCTTGCATCAGCAAAACATTGGGACCATTTTCCTAAAAGCATCCGATGAGGTACTGTGTTATGAGTACTGACATCATTTTGACTCACTTAATGTTAACTTTTCGTTTCTAGTTGGAGTCCCTGTACTCTACTTACTGTGCCAATCATCCTAAGGCAGTTGCTGTACTGACTGATAACTCGTTAGTCTCTGAGTTTATAAGAGATATACTATTATTGTCTTGTCCTGTTTATTTTAGAGATAAACTCTCCTCGTTCATGGAGTCCAGAGGTGCTGCCAGTCCTGGGATTTTAACACTAACAACTAGTTTGAGTAAAGTGAGTCGATAATTGCATATTGTATATCATTTGACCATAGATTATTTATGCTTGCATGTACATGAGGTTTTTTATGTAACCCAAGAGCATGTATATGTACATGTATCAGAAAATGTAATTAAAATTGAGTGATTTTGAAGCCATTTTTGAAATAGAAACAGTGTTCCCACAAGACTTCTTAGTGGATACTATACAGTAACTGTACATGTTCTTTGGCCAAATTTTGTCAAAAATGAAATTGAGAGAATTCTCAATTTTTATTATTATTTCTGATTTACATGTATATATATCTACTTATGTTGTGTAAAAAGTTTCAACTGATTCCGATCAAGTTTCGATTTTTTAAAATGGAGCCAGAAATCATGCATGTAATAAGTGCATTGCCTTTGTCAGAGAATTCTTCTTTTTTTTAATTTTATATGATACATATACATGTACTTATATTGTATGAGCTGATTCCAACCAAGATTAGATACTCAAGAGCATTACCTAATCTAAAATTACTATATTGTATTTCTTTAGCCATTTAAGAGACTTGAGAAGTATCCTGCTCTATTGAAAGAAATTCAAAGAAGCCTTGGTGTAAGCTATTCGTGTGTGCAGTAGATCAGTGCAGTATGTTTTACTAATAGGATGAACACAGTGATGCCGATGCTGTAAAAGAAGCTATTGAAGTCTATACTGCTATATCAGTGAGTATTAGTACCCGTGATAAGAAAGACTTTTTATTATAAAAATAAAGGCTCGTACGCAAGACATAAGAAAAAAGAAAGAAGCAGAGTTTGATATGTTGTCTAGTCCTGTTCAAGGATACAATGGACATGTTAGTACAATAATAAACATGCTAATAAATAAGTAAATA